AGCATATTCATGTTAGAACACATCATAGAAGTCCTTTTTTTATAAATTTTCAAGTTTATCACATTACCTTTTACTAAATCAAAGTACATAAATTTTTCAAAACATTTAATACGATATAATTTTTCATTTTTTAGCTTTTTGACAAATGATTTTGAACAATGTCAACTTTCAACACTTGTAAAGTTAAAAAAAATTTAACTTGACTCATTGCTTTTACATGAATCAAAACACGTTAATTTGTATTAACATAAAAGAGAAAAGCTGAATATTTCAAAAATCTGAAGTTAAAATTTTTATATCATAGAAATACATTACACAAAAACTAATAAATTTCTCATTTGAATAATATAATTTGTCCAACATATGAAATCTAAGAAAAAAATAACTTTAATTTCATGATAGCAATCATAAGGGCTACAGATTCAATTAAATAAATGAGCAATAGTTTGCATTTTTAGATCCATAACAACCAATTAAAAGTTTACTGGTATTTCTCAACTTTTAAATCGCATCTTATGAAACAATGTAAAAAATAATCGGATCTAGTGTATTGATTGATTGCTGCATAAAAATTTCATTAAAGTTGATAGACTAATCAAATCCAAAAAAAATCTTAATTAAAATATTGGATATTATTTATAATAAAAGTAGCCAACATCATCTTTGGAATCTTGTATGATGCATGAAGTCTCCATTGATTGATACTTTACGTTCCGCTTCGACCTTACATTTCCTAGCAAGAATGGAAATCACTAGTATTTATTACCATTCATCTAAGAATGCAAACTACAGTGATGCAACATCTGGATAGCAATATACGACGATGGATAAATTTTCATATCAGATCACTTGTGCGAGAAGGGTGATGGAAGGTTGTGATGTCATTAGCACTTTATTGGCAGCAATAAAGTAACCATCTTTTTCGCATGACATCCCTTGTGTACTTCTAATGGTGGCAAAATCAAGATTTGTTGAAAATTTTCATAAGTACATCTGATGGACCTCTTTGTCAAGCTTTCAAAAAAATATTTCTAGCTCTGATAACACGGCATCATTTTAGGAAGTGTGCTTAGCTGTAACAATGCTTACAACTAGTTTTTCATCAATTCTTAGATTGAAGGAGCTCACATCAAAGTACGTTTGAATATCTTCGTTGTATTTATGAAGGTTATAATAATCATTTATACACAAACTTTATTATCGGCCAGGGTAATGGTAAAGGGAAGTGAAGAGAGTGTTAATTTGAAAAAGTTGGAACATGAGCAAGGTGGAATAACTTTGAGACATTTTCATACTGCGAGTGGTGTTCATCATGAATCAATTAGTTTTACTTGACCAACGTTAACTACTTGACTAGCGTTAGTAAGCACAAGGTCGAGCGGGTAGTGAAGTCATAAATAAATTTATAAATGAAGGTCAATTGAGGAGAGTATTTTGAGGGCGATGAGAGGAACATTGAAGACATGAAGAAGTTTAAATTCTTCCCTACTTTTCAACATGGACGCTCTGAGGCATAAACACCATATTTAGCATCTCTCGAGGGCCTGTTGAGCCTCAGTTCGAGTTGGGAGGTGAGAACGTCACCAATTGCGTCCCAAAGCATGATTTTTGATAACGAGGGAGTCCTGATTACGAAGACTTTAGAGAATCACTTCAAAAGAGGAGCACAGGAGCTAACGAAGGCTCTTCAGGTGTCGATCACCGAAGAATATAAGGCTTAAGATGAAGGTCACAAAGCACCTCCTTAAGCCATCCCATGTACGAACATATCGCCTGAAATGACAGAGAACATGAAGAATCTTGACTTTTTCCAACTTAGCACGTTGAATCCAAAGTATGGACCGCTTTGGAACCATGAAGAAACTGACTATGTGGAAGTACTTCAACTCATCGATGGTGGAACTTTGACTTTATACGATGAGGCTAACAATGTAAACAAATTGATTTCAATTGTTGTTTTGACTTATGCAGTAGAAAAATGCACAAATGGAAGAAGTGAAAATGAAAAATTCCACGGAGCAGTAATCCGTTCAATGATAAAGCTAGAGCTTCAACTTAGGGATAAAGTTAGAGAGTTGTAGCGGTGATGAAGTGCTTTCAAAAATCATTTATGAAACAATTTTCAAAGATACGTGGAGATTTATGCACGAGTGTTAGCTTTATGGGTGTGCTGCATTGGAAGAGTAGAAGTTAGGTCAGGAGAGGTATAGTGCACATGGATATTGCAACACAATATATTTAACTGGCAAATGAAACATCACAAAGCACAGAGTGTCATCACAAACACAAGTGTATCACAAGCATGTCCATCTGTGTTACACTAGGTAATGATCTAGTCCATAACATAATTGAAGCGTCTGGAGGCTAACAAAAAGGGAGCTATAGTTCTCAGATAATTTAATGAAAAACATCTATCATGCTTGGTTATTACGTTGTGTACATTTACACACTGTCCACTAACACCGTGTTGAAAGGAGTTGTCAAGTATAAGAATCACAAATCTACAAGTTGACGCTGCACAGCTAATCCACATAATGTACATCTTAAGTCAACTATATACTTGTGAGGCTAGTATACATGGTATCATCAATGTTTGAATCTTGGCATGGTTCTCAACCCCACACATAATTCTTAAAAGAAGATAAAACATCAATTACATGTACAAGTGTGCTACTGGTAGTGACATCTATAATTCTTAAAAGAAGAAAAAACATCAATGACATGTACAAGTGTGCTGCTGGTAGTGACATCTACATGTGGTCGACGCACACTACTACAAATACACGTTATCACCAACATCAAATCTTCAAGTTCAAATTCGATAGCCATTTGCTTGAATGGTATCATAACGCCAAATATCTAGATGTTAAGCAAAGGCCAGATTTTCAAACGTCATACTTAGGAAAATTATTTCTAATGTGGAGACCACAGTCTTATCCATATATCAGGTTTATCCAAATCCAAGATCTCATATGATTGTTATTGCAGGTTATTCTTGATCTTTACCATATATCAAGATGATGAAAAATTTCTCAAAGACACTTGCCTGCTAACAATATATTGCATGGTCAACCATGATGGCCCATGGACCATCCCGATGTTGAGGTGATTATTCTTTAAGTCAAATTCTCCAAATACTGTGCTAGTTCATCACTCATTAGTTCACTTGATGTAGTACAATGATCAATCAATGTTTGATCACGAAGCCTTGAATTCAGTTTAAAAAACTCTCAGTCTCGGATCAATCAACACCATTGCTGATGCAAAATTCTGTGCAATGATGCTAAAAATGCATCTATTGTGTCTTCTATTCAACTTGTCAAAAAAAATCAACTCTATTTACCTGGTTAATGTTTTTCTATGATCAAAACATTTAACTGACCTTTTCAACATTCAACAAACCTTGTCTTTCCATTTGTAAATATTCTCATATCCATTGAGTTTAGGGTAACAAGTTGAATCAGGTAAATGATAGCTATCTTGATGATCCAATCTCATATGATAATCAAGTTTCATAAACGGTAAAGAATATAACTGCGGTGTTGAAGCAATAAATACTTACATAACTGAAATCTCCGGTGGACTCTCATTAAAATACAATTCTAATGCTTCTTTGAAAATTTATTTTGAATAGAAAGATACAATGTTTTCTTGAGATTATTGCTTATCGTATCCACATGTATAAAATCTTTCCATTCATCACTTTATTCCAGTATTCATAGACATTAAAATTTTTTGCTAAATTAAATTTTGTTCTGAATCGATTTATTACAGAGATGTTTTTCATCTTGATTGATATATGTTTATTTCTAATCAATAGTTTTCTATGATAACTAACAATAATATCTATCTAGCTTGATCGAGTTTCTGTATAAACTTTGATATGTTTCACTATTTTTAATACACATGATGCGTTAAAAATTTTCATTTATTTATAATGTATCTTTCAAATTTTCTTTTGTTTCCATGTTCAAATAACAATCTGGCATTGAAAACGTTATAATTTGAACTATAATTTATTCTTTCATGTATCAAAATCTAAAACTTATCTTAAGTCTAATGAATCAAATAATTAAACTTAGTTCAATTAAGTATAAGTATTTAGCTAAAGATTCAAAAAATCAAGACATCAATCTTTTACTAATATTGAAAAAAAAGTTCAATATGCTTTAATTAAATTTTAAGAGATTCCTCTTCATGTTATCTCATTTAAATAATTTGTACAAAAGTTACAATCATACAAGAAGAGATTTCATAGAATTTTGTCATATGTACGACTTCTCACAAGAAATTCTTGCATCTGTATTTGTGTAAACTCCATGACAATAAAGTCTTTGAAGCAGATAATTCATTCATTTCAAGTCAAATTGATCTTATTTCTTCTTTTCATATCTTAAGAATTTAGTTTTCCTAAAGAAATATTCTAAGACAGAAGAATCATTAAATTTGATTCTTCTGTCTTAGAATTAAGATTTAAATTTTTTAATGAATTTTTAATAAAATTGATATTTCTGTCAAACACTCAAAATGACCATCTTTACATCTTTGCTAACTTTAAACAAAACAGATTTTTTGACGAAACATCAAGCAATTCATAATTTTAGTGTTCAACAATGATCAATCTAGTCTTTGGTAGAAAAACACGTTTTTGTTGTCAAGCGGCCAACTTCGGTGTTGAAATTTGCACTCGAATTTTAACAATGCTACCAAATCTAAAAAAATTAAAAAACATAATCTTCATTCCTGTCAATTATTACAATTGTTGGACCCTCATCATTCAGTATACGTATTGGAATTCAAGGCTGAACTCCCCACTTGTAAGTGAAGGGATTTCATCATGGTGGGACTTGCAACAAGGCATACTTAAAAGGTTTTACTCAAAGTGGAATTTTTATAGTTTAGCCAAAATCTGATATTCTTCAGAAACATATATGCGCGATTGACATGATTACATAGATTATAAGAGACTTGTAAAACTCAAAAGTCTAAGGAAGATTTTGCAGAGGTTCATATTGCATGAGTGTCTAAACATATGCTTGTCATTTGCATCATGACATTCTAACCTCTTCAATTTCTCGACAAACTCCCAGTTTCAAGACCGGTGTCCATGCACTCCTCGCACACCCATGCATGCCCACCTAATTCTACTCTCTTGTATTTCACTTGATACAACTTGAAGATTTTTTCATAGTTAATAACCCCAAGAGTTTTCTGAATCCTCAACCATGTTTGTTTCAACTCCTCGCTTCCCCCAGCTTTTAGAATTGCCCTAAGATCACTATTCCCAGCTTTTAGAATTGCCCTACGATCTTTATCGCTAATGCCATCTAGTTTAACAATATCAGATTTTAAATCTGCAAAGTCTGGAACAACTTGGCCCAACGGGAAGTACTTACCCACTGCACCCTTTGCAACATAATACAAGATTTTGTAAAAAATTTCAATAGTTTTTGCAATCCACTTCTTATTGAATTGATCCACGCGTATCTTCAAACCTTCTTGATCTTCCACCATGTGAACCCCAGTCGCCGACTCACACATCAAGTGTAATCGAACGGTTGTCCCAAGATGCAAACGTGCGCTGAACTTATATAAAATGTTAACATCATCAGTAATGTAAGGTCGTTTGGGGGTTCTGGTCTGCCGAAACTCTTGAGAATACTCAATAATCCTGTCCACTTTAGACATGAACTCACTCAGCGTTGACTGCAGTTCTTGTTGTAAAGAGAGTATCTGCATCTCCAATCTCTGCAGAATGCTCTGCATTGATCTCAACCTCTCATCAACACCATCAACCTTTTTTCCTACCCGATCAATTCTTTCCAAAACAAGTCGAGTTTCATGGCTTTCCACACTTGTGCTCATCGGACTTATGCAACTGGATGAAGGTAGATTGGAGTCTCTCACATCAGGAACATTCGAATTGGTAACCATGTTATCATTTTCAGGTGAAGAATGATTCAAATCATTGTTCACTTCGATTAAACCTTGATGCACCGACTCCAGTTGTTGCATGAGGCCTTGTTGCACTGACTCCAATTGTTGCACTCGCTTCTGTCGGATCTCATTCACAATCGCCTCCACATCGCTCTTCCACAACAACTCCCTTGCTCTTTCAAATATAACCTCTGTTATGTGCCCTTTAATCAAGGGCCAAGGATGCTCATGGCTGAACAACTCTTCCTCCTTCACCAAGTGAAACCTATCCGACTGTGTATCCTCAAGTTTGTCATTGATGTCACGAATGAAGTTTAATTTGAGCTCCTCGATCAGAATGGATCCTCTGAGATGAATGGGAATAAGCATCTCCACACAACGTGTTTGAATCACACCAAGCACTAACGACACCCCGGGACAACCTTTGGATGATGCGCAAAATGATATCAACTCCTGGACGACATGCTTCATCACGTATTTAATTGCCACCTCCCTTGACTTATGATCCGAGCATAACATCAGAACATCCACGTAATTGCGAGAGGTTCCTTGCTCCAGATATATCTGATGCCCATCAAGGAAGAGTCGTAGATAATGTCGAGAGCAGGTCACAATCTTCTTGGAAACATGCATCTCCGATATCAACTTTCGTCTCATGAACATCTACAATGATACAAAATTTGGTAAATATTAAGCTGCGCATTCCAAAAATTGAATTCAATTAATGAAAACAGAACACTCCATTCATTGAACACAAGTTACAATCATAACTCGACTCATTCAATTTTCTCACAATATATAAGAAATCACCTGGAAGCATGGGAAAAAAGCAGCGGTCAATGACATTGTTTTTCCATCCTCGCATTGAATCCGGATGCCAACAAACTTTGAAGTCTCAACCCTAGAATCCCAAGCCATCGACTCCACATGCGCCAATTCTTGAGGCTTCTGTACTTCAGTGCTTGCATGCTCAGGTATGAAGGAGGGAATGAAATACTGAGAAGTATCTTCCACCTTGAAGCACAAATCTAGGTTGATAAGGATATTTTCAAGCATGTCTCTGTTCACACCTCTCTGTCCATGTGGTTGCTTTCCCAAAAACTTTTCTATCAATCTAGCAAATACACTCTCATTCACAAATCCGTCCTTGCTTGAGTATGAGTCAAGCAACGTTCTTTTGTGCTCTTGAGCTTGAAAGTTCTGACCGAGAGCTACGAGCTCACCCAATAATTTATTGGTGAGCCAGTTTGGATCAACAATAATGTAATCAAGGTTGGGGATAGAAACTATGGATCCCACGTCATTCAAATAAGATACTATAGATTTTTTTATCTCTAAGTGATCAACGGTGGAGGCAGAAGAAGATGGAAGAAATTCTCTCAAGATGGGGTCACAGAAGTCATAAAATTTATCTGATGGCCAAAGAGGGTAACTTCTGTTATCCTTAGTGTTTGTAACCAAGCGGGAGGAGAGATCTGAACACAAGTGAGGAACTAGTGGAGATTTTTCTCTTAGCAACTTCTCAAAGATCTCAAGAATGTGTTTTTTTAGAGGAATAACTTGCTTATTTTTCCGAGCATCCACATGAAAACACTCTTGAATAGGGTGAAGATCCACAAATCTTGCAAATCTTTCAGCGAGTTTGTTCACTATGTCCTGAGCCCAAGTAAGAGAACTAGATTCAGCTTTATCCTTGTGTGAAATTACAACAAGAACTTGTGGAAGATTATGTCCTGTGACCCTACTACTGGATGTGATGAAACTCAACCATTCTTCTAACTCTCTCTCGAGACAAGAGTCTTGTTTGTATAAAGATTTAATCTCACAGAAGGGGCTATAAACAAATAGAAAAACACAAAAATTGCTAGTTTGAGGGAAAAACACATTTTGAAGGGTACGAAAAATTTCTTGTCCCGCAAGATCCCAAATTGAAATTTGACCTTTGTCATTGTTTTGCAAGAACTCTACTTCAATTCCTTGAGTCCTCCTCTTGAATTTGGCCCATTTCTGTTGGAACCAATTCTTGCCGTGTACCAATGTTTGACTTAATTGAGTCTTGCCTATAAATTGAATACACATAACCACAAAAAAAATAACTTGTTATTTGAGATATTTATACAGGTTAATTGTACCATATTCTTTAAGCATGTTAAAGAGGAGTGGGAAAAATCCAATATTCAAATCAAATTTGAAATTATTAAAAAAGATCTCAAGTAATTTTGAGTTCATTAGCATTTTTTTTTCTTTTCTTATATTTTTGTTTTATTTTTCACACAAATCCAAAAACATCTAGATAAATAAATAAACTTCATAATTTAATCTTGAATTAAATTAAAACCTGAAAATGAAAAGTAAAACCTCAGAATGCTAGTTAAAAAAACTGAGAGCTTACAAAGCACCTTACCTGCTAGAGGAGAGCCGCATAAGAAGAGTCGACCAGCTTTTGCATCTCCAAATGTTAATCTAGCTTTCCTGAACACGGACATGTAGACGGCTCGCTTCTGGTTCTGCTTGAGGGCTTCTTGAATCAGCGCCGCCTTTCCGTCCCATGCCCATGTGGTCCGTGAGACGTTTATTTCCTGGAGAGTCAAGTTGACCTGCAGTAGCCCCATCACGTCCCTGAACGCCTCTTCGTCCAGTGGGAGGCGAGACAAATCCAACTCGAAGTGAGTGAGACTTGTGTTCCCTCGTATGCACAAAAGCAGGTCCTTCCATACTCCCTTCCTTAAATACTGCCAGAACTTTATGTCCCAAAGATGTAATCTCAGTCTCTTCAGTACGGAAGTTTCTCCAGTTTTTCCATTCATCGACAGGATAGATTCCATTCTATCTTCGTTGGTACCTGAAGTGCTCATATCCCGCACATGTAAATGGTAAGATTCTAGAGACTTGACTTCCCCGCGTAGTGTCCTACCTAATAGGTTCATTGATAACATCAACTGATGTTCACTCGCAGTCATGAGATCAAGCTCCACTATGGGATCCTTGAGATCGGAGCTAGCAGCAGAGGCAAGAGCTTCTATCGAGTCATTTCCATCATCTGGGTCTAAGCTAAACTTTACATTTATAGTTGTTGCTATAGCATTGTCACGTATGACTTCGCCCAGCTGGTGCCATTCCTCAGGACTCATCCGCAAGTTGTCCAACGTCACTTCCTTCAATGATGGGTTGGAAGTAAGAAGTTTCCTCAAACAACCTCCGAGTCCATCCATATTCGCCAGCCAAAGACGTTCAATGGATCGGTTGCCATCATCTCGGGCCAAAGCGTTCAGCAACAAGGCCTCTCCCCACTTCACGTAAAGTAATGACAATTTTCTCAAAGACGAGCTGTTGATCAAAGCCTGGGACAGGATTCCAACGGCCTCCTCCTCCATGTCACCCACATGCTTCACCGCACTCGCGTCCTCCCATTCGCTTATTCCCAACGTTTGTAATAGAGGAGCATTGTGGATCATGCCAGCCACATGCTTCACCGCACTCGCGTCCTCCCACGCCTTCCGTAAATATAAAGACTGGAGTTTAGAATCGGGATTTCCTCGCAGTCCCGAGGCGAGATTCAAGAAACATCTGGCACTCAATTTGGTACATTCTATTTTCAATAGTTGTACGCTAGAGGTATTGAGAATTCTCCCTATCTGTAAACACAATCTCTCCACTTCCTCATTTGAACTCCATTCCAAAGCACCAACGACTATCTCTTTTAGAATGGTGCTAGACCTGAATGCTCTCAAAACTAACTCCCATTCACTTGCGCTCAACCTCGATATATTTTTGCCACAAATATCTTCCACGTTCAGATACTCAAGGGTATTGCAGCTTCCGATTGACTCCAGCACTCGAAGGCGCACTTGGCTTCGCCACCCTGTGATCTTGGAGAGCGATACACTAGTCGGAAAGAAATCCTGAAATTCTCGCCCTCTTAAATCGGAAAGCAACGTTATAGGATTGCCTTTTCCTTCCAGACGCCGTATAAGGTCCTGGACAGCGGAGGGAAGCTCAGGTCCCTGGTCTGCAGAGTCCATTCCCCGTGTCTCAGCAGCGTGACTGACTATGGACGCAACTGCACCTTCCATTCTCTCCTCCGCTCGCACAGAGTATGAATCGTTTGCTGCTTGGCATGCGCGAGCGCAATCTCACCTGGCGTACAGGACGCCTCCTCGATACGAAGGACCGGCTTACCCGAAGAGAACTAACTTCACGTCGCAGTGTCACAACTTGTGTACATGTGCGTGTGAACATGCCACCTCTTGCACTCTGCATGAGGAGAAACACAAAGGTTAATCTTACCTCTGCAAAGAATAGGATCAAGAGCAATCACCACAAACGCAGGGAGATTGTGCAAACTGGAAGTAAGAGGCTGCTCGAACTCAGTGCAGGGCAATACAAGCGATGTGAATCATAATGAAAGCAGATAACCAATATTCTGGTTCCAAAGCAAATCGTAGAGTGTGTGCAAAGGGGACTTCACATCTCTAGGAATGCAAACCTATTGTGAAGTAGAACGAAGAGAGCTGTTTGATTTGCACTTGTGACCCAACCGAGTGGACAAGCTAAAAGCTTTGTAGATAAATCTGAAATCCAAAATACTGGTTCGTAGCAAAGATGTGTGATGTGGACGCAGAATGTCATAGATAGCATGGAAACGCAGATATCTCAGATGTGAAGTACTCTGCCTTGTGTAAACCTCCATGTACAGTTGCACTGGGAGAAGGCGAATCTAGCTGCATCAAAACCCACCAGTCTGTCTTCCCGTGGGTGTTGATGCACGGGAAGACAGACCCTCCGAAGGGTAGAGCGTAGAAATTTGCAGCTTAATCATCAGATCTTCTCATTAAATTGTGTGGATGATGAGGTCAAGACGTGTTCCTCTATACAGTACTCAGCTGTGATTGGAAAATGTTCTTGGAGAAAGTCGAGTAAATCTTGACTTTGTTGTGCAAGCGAACGTGATAATTGAGTGAATGCATCAGTGTGCTGATACACTCATGTTGTCACGCTGGCAACAGAGATGTAAAGAATCTTTGATCTATTCAAACAAGTGGATGTATTCTGACAGATGAGATGCACGTGGGTAGTCAGCTCGGTGGGCAAAGTCTGTTGTGCTTTTTTCTTGCTTTGACGATCGGTACAGTAGTCTACTTTACTCTGCATATCTTGTAGGTTAAGAAATTGATAAACTTTGTGGGAGTTTTTTAAACATAATGTCCAAAGAATGGGTACAGAGCACAGGAGGACTCGAGGTTGCAAATGCTGGTATGATTGTTCTTCTACCTCAACTGTCAAGCATGGACAGTTCTAACACCAGTGTCTGGAGGTCTTTCAACATCAAACATTAAAATGGAATCAGATTCCAACCGTGCTAAGAGGACTCCTGCTTGTTTATCACGGCGTATAGAACACGACAGAACCAGCATGATTACTTGCTAAGGTCAACATCCATCCTCTCAAGAATTTACAATATTCTAATCTGCTTGCAATTGAAGAAAAACTTTCTAGTATACATGAGATGAAAAATAACTCATATGCTAAATTTTAGATAACAACGATTCAAAACTTCAGATGAAGATCTCGTTTAAAGTCTAAAGGGTAAGACAAACTTACATGGAAACAGCAATATCCGATATTTTAACTCAAATGAAACAAGTGATATTGCAACTTTTGCACTCGTATGCTCATTTCATAATTCCAAACATGTCAAAGGAAAAGATGAAAGCACATTGGTCAATTGATAAAATGGTTGGAACGCGAAAGTGTTGATTCATGTCTTTAGTACTCTCTCTTTTATTTTAAGCACATTCACATGAATTTTTGTAACAAAATATAAAATTGTGTCTTAATATCTTTCTATTATATGTGTGGTATGTTTAGCATCTTTATTTGATGATACGTCAAATCTGAAAATGTTCAGTCATAAACAATGTGTAATAATTTGTTTATGTCATGACATTATTCAATGAACGTTACAGTTTTACATTGTACATAAATTTTATTCATAGCTTTAGAGATTTTGACTCTTTATTTTTCAGCTGTTTTAGTTATTTTTTTAAAAAATTCTTGGACGGTTTTATGTAGATGCATCATCTAGATTAATGCAAATGAATAATTCTCAAATAGTACAACTACACAAATGAGATAATTGATGGATGTTTACATGCTTACTTGTTCCAACTTTATTACAAAATTTGGAACAAGGAGTTGATAGTTCCATTGTAAGTAACTTTTTAAAGTTTCTATTAGCATACCTAAAAAAAAACTCTTGATGCATAATACATTCAAGTTAAACTAACCCTGAAGGGATCAAATGTTGATGAAAGAATTAAATGATAGACCCTTATCATGACTCCCTAGTTATTCTCTCCTTTAGGTAAAAATTTATCCAAATATTAGAAAGAAATATGTTGTCTCAGCTTACTTGACATGTTTTCTTTTCTATTTTTTTTTCTCATGTTATTTGATTTTTTAAGGATATTCTCACTATTGATACTGCCCAGAATTTTTGGATTCTGCAGATTCCCCAGTGCTCCAGAAATTTATATATAATTTTAATTTTTCAACTCCAACAGGAAATTCTTTAGAAGACTCTTTCTCACTCCCCACATGTATTGATCCAGTTCACTCCACAAAAGAAGAAAGTGAAGATGCTTGATTGGATACTTTTGATTTTATTGTGGTAGTCAAAAGAAGATGGTCGTTGATGTTGAGTGTGTAGTACTCATCCACATTTAACCCTCCGTCCACTTCATAAGAATCAATACACGATCTCCTCACACAGATGTATGACCGTTTCCAACTTATGCCATGATCTGCATGATCTGGCAATCATGCAGATTGCTACAGACTGTATCTTCAAAAGCAATCTTCACTTGTACACGTTTCTTTTTGTTTTTCAAACAGCCAAGTGAAGTATGTTTTAGAAGCATCATCTTGGCTGGCTTGTTTATTTTTTGTTAACAGTTGCTGTGATAGTAGATAATCGGATTTGTAAATGGCACGACACCCATTCGACACTATTCTCAAAAGGATACTTTTGATATTATTGTGGTAACTTACTAAACAAGTAAAACGCACACGACAATGCAAAGTCCAACTGAATCACGCCACCCATTTTTCATTTTTTATGAGAACAGTGAGAGCGCAGAGGACAATGACTCCACTGCAGAGTCCAACATAATCACGCCACCCATTTTTCATTTTTTATGAGCACAGTGAGAGCGCAGAGGACAATGACTCCACTGCAGAGTCCAACATAATCACGCCACTGCTTTATTTTTTATTTTTAACATGCATTTCAATCGGAACCTGATCTCAGTTGATGATTTCAGCGCAGAAGCTTCCTTATTCCTTCGGCTTTGGCTTATTCCAGGTGCCTACAGGAGACATGTTCAAATTAGAAACCGGTATATATCCTTGGGTGGTTTATCAGTCTGAACGCAGGAAGTGCCAACCACATTGTCACGATGAAATTGAGCATTTTTTCACCAGTTCAAACCTCACCACATCATCAATCTTGCCAGCAGAAAGAGGTCTGCTGCCGTTTCTAGAAATCTGCTCCACCTTGCCAGGCACGCCGATTCCAAAGAATTGTCAAGCTTCAACGAGCAAAATGCGTACTAAGGAATACTTTCTCGTACCTAGTCTCAGCATGGGCACATGCAAGAACTTATGAACCTCTACTACTGCGGCCTCGAGATCAATCCTCTTTTAACTAACTCCCTTGCTCACAAAATTTACAACAGACAACCACACTACTATTAAATCACATATTCCAAAATATTCTATCTCAGATTACATGACATGTTATTTTTTTCTTCTTTTGTCCCCTGTTTTTTTTTTTCTTTTGTGGGTATTCTCACTATTGGTACTGCTTGCATGGGTTAAATTGTAGGAGAATTTTACTTTACTCTATGATTTGTTTTTGAGTATATGTGAAAAGTGTCTTGTACTCACTTACTCTGATGATGACATAGCATTGACTTTTAATTAGGGGGCGGAGCCAGAAACTTTTTGGTGGGTGGAGGGGGGCCGGGTATTTCTCCTCCAGGTATTTCTGTAGTGCCGCAGGCAAAAAAAATTTCTCGACCGCGGATTTTCACAATCTGTAGACCCTTCCTAGGTCTGGGGGCGTGTCCCACCCCCCCTCCTTAGCTCCGCCACTAATGTCAATGTTTCTAAAAAATACGCAATATAATTCCTTATTCCTCAGTGCTCCAAAAATTTATTTATATTTTAAATTTTAAAATATAAATAAATTTCTGGAGCACTGAGAAATATGGAACTCCAACTGGAAATTGTTTAGTATACTACTTCTCACTCCCGACTTGTATTCAACTTACTCTAGTTCACTCCACGGAAGAAAGTGAAGATGTTGGGTTGGATACTTTTGATTTTTATTAGTGTGGGACCTTACCTAACAAGTACAACGCCGAGGACAATACCTCAACTGCCAAAGTCCAAGAGAATCACGCCACTGCTTTATTTCTTTTTTAACACACATTTCGAGACCCTCATATCAGTTGAATATTTCAGCTAAGAAGCTTCTTCATAACTTCGGGTTAATCCAGATGCAAGCAGGAGTAACATTGACGTTAGAAACCGGTATATACCCCTTCGTGGTTTATGAGTCTGAACGCAGGAATTGCCAACCACATTGGCACAATGAAACTGAGCATTTTGTTCATGGAGATCGGTGCGACTAAGTAGCACCATACTCCAAGAAGATGAACGCTGATGAGGCTGCTTCCAAAGCAATCATGAAGAAGTCTCTCCTCTACGGGTGAGTATTATCAAGCTGCTGGGATACGGGAATAGTAAAATTCAAGCAGAATCGCATAGATTAGCACAAGTATGGTATTGTGGGTGATTGATTAAAATGCTAAATGCTATGAAACACGTAACATCTTCAAACTGTGTTCCACCAGCAACTCCACCTCATAAGTGACGGCCTGATGTTTGTTCTTCTGGAATGCAGCGTCAGGGTCCGAGGAAAACATTATTCACCATGTGGGAAAAATGACAGCGCTATCAAGCTTCTGAGTTGGATAGAATTTAATCTCAAAACATGTGTCGTTGTGACAGTTTCAAATTCGAATTGTCCTTGAACCGATGGCTCCCGACGGTGTTAGTTCCCTCCCTGGACTATCCCTGTTGTAGTCAAATAGTCCATAAGAGCCAGTTACTAAACGATGGATTTGTTCCTCTGTCTAAATCATTCCCGTTGTCTCTGTCTGATCACGGTAGTTTAGATTCACCCTTGCCTGAAAAAGGAAGGTGAAATGTAGATTGGGAAAACAGCTTGGCATCCCAATCATAATTTACTGGGGCACGCCATCGGCTATGACAACTCAACTACATTTTTGAAGAAAACCGGGAGTCAGGACAATGTGTTGCACATTTCTTCCCTGCTCCAATTCAACTGCAGTTACAATTCCCAGCACAAAGTTCACGACATAAGATTTGCCTGAACAATACTTCCTTTTACCTGCAGTGGCTTTCGGGATCGTCTACCGGGAAAGGTTTCAGGACAGGGCAATAGTCCCAACCCTCTCAACAGACGTGTATATTTCCCATTATCCACTTTCTCAGATCAGTGCCCATGTCTACAATCAATGTCCATGCATTGATGCAGTAAGTGGTGATCGATGACTTCCTGCAACTTACTGAAGTGGGCAGTGCTGAAGAAAAGATTTATTCGAAGATTTTTCATCTCCCCAGACTCCCCTCGCTTGCGCGGAGGAGCCCAAATCAGAGACTCCATGCTTCGAGTGGACGTGCCTTCGACATGTTCTCAGCTCCCATCTCTCTTACTCCCGCTCGGGTTACGGACAGCCGCTACGCTGCCCAGATCTTAGAAGATCGTCTCTGTATGAATCCTGGCGTGCCTTATGGGTTCTCGTTCAGTGTTGTACCAATCATGCATTGTCCAGTGGAGCTGTTCTTCATAAGTAGTACATACTGTTATTCCTTGATGGTGGATATATTTTTCTACGCAACTACTGCCTTTCCGTGGATCAAAAATAACACAAACTAACATCTGTGTTATTATTAATCTCTTCAGGCGACCAGATTCGCTGGACCATCGTAAGGAGATAATCTGGCAGAATCTGATCTTGCAGACTTTGTGTTGATCACTTCAGATTAGTGCTTTAGATGTGAAGCACGCGTGCATTGTGCTAATACAAAAGTTGAAGTTCTTTGATCCAAGCTGCCAACACAGAAGGCTGTACCATTCAGATCTTGGCGGTATAGAAATTGCTGCTGGAGCTCAGCGATACCTCAGACACATGAAATTCAGACTAAAAATAAATGCAATCTGTCTACTTTTCATGTTTGTTGAAAGTCTTGGAGAGGTGAAAATTTAAGATTCAGAATTTATTTATTCGTTACAATTTTTCTAAATATAAATCAATCTTGAGTGGTAAATGCAAATTGATACTAAATTATAATATAAAAAATTGCAACCAAGTATTAGATTTTTGGGTAATTGCTACAGATATAGATCTAAAAGATTTCTTCAGTACTACTATTTGAACATGCATTTAAAATTTGAATGCACGTAATCACAAACTCCACACAAACATAGAGTTTGAGATTGATCAAAAAAATGATTTGAACATTATGATGGTTTTTGTACTCAAAGTTTACACATCTCAGTGTGATTCAGTGTATGATTCAAAAATTCTTGCAAATATAAGTTGAATAAAATGTGAAATTCTTTTGAACTTTTAAAAGGATACATTGCAATTTTATTGAAGTTTGATCAAGAATGTACAATAAAGCTAAAAACTAAAAAAATAATCTTCCGTAGCAAAACTTGTATTGATCTGAGAAATTAAAAAAAAATCTTAAAAAAAAAAGACATGATGAGAGATAACATCATCACATATTTAGAGTTAGGGTTTAAGGTAAGGTTTAGGTTTATTTCATAAAAATGTTCCATAACGAGTCATTGAAAGTTTCTTCAAGGAAAATTATGCAATCAATATCTCTTAATATCATGTCAAAATTGTGATTATTAATTTAATAATACAACTAGCATTGATTTTAGTCATCATTTACACTGTTACTATGTGATGATGTTGACAATTGTCAATAAATAATATTGACAATTGTAAATTCAAAATATATAACTAGCAAATTAAAAATTTAATAACATGATTTTAAAAACATTAAATAATAAAAATTCCAAGAGTATTTTAAGAATTAAAGTCTAGAGTACTAAAAAGTTTGGTAAATTTTCCAGAGCCATTTAAATAAGAAAAAATGTAAAATTTTATCAAATAATCGAGAAAAAAATTGATGACAAATAGAGTTTATCATTATAAAATCATAATTCAAATTACAAGTAATTCAAATCAATCTTACCTTGTTTGCAGAGACTTCATTCCTCGTGTGTTACATATTAATGGTTGAGAGAATTACAATATATAATGTCAGGTGACTAAGTTACATGCAAAGTTGTACTCGTGTTACGTGGTGTGAAGATGGTTGTTTGCACAATAAAGTATTCATCTTAGAAAAGTGGACGTCCACATTAGTAAATAGACAGATCATCCTTTCCAATATAGAATTGGATATCAATATAATGGAAGTCTTAATTACTTCATTTTTCAAAACATCAAGACTAATTCTATAGAAAATAGACGCAATATGTGTATACAAAGATATTAGTTCCAAAATGATTTTCTAGTATCAGTTTTGATTGCCGATAATTTGGAGATAATCTCGAAAGAACTAAAGCAAACAAAGAGGTCCAGTTAGATAATCTTTGAATAAATAGGAGATTATCACACTTAATCCACATATATGAATTTGTTGGTATTTGTGACGTTGAGCCTGTGAGCTTCAAGTTGTTTGCAGCTGCGCATTCATCTCAAAGAACGAAAGAAAATAAAATATTTGTTTGTTTGTGTATTTGGTGTGTTCATTCGACTTTTCTGAACCCCAAATGCACTTCACCATGACGACAAGCTGAGAACATGTACAAAACTCTTGCGCTCGAATTTCTGCATAGTTGCATCTCTCTCCAGGCTCTTAGTTCGAGTTCGCCATGAATTTGGCAGGAGAAAGAAGTTGGCAGCGACCGAGATCAAAATTCCTGACCCTCGAGGCAAGTGTGATCGAAGAAGATTCCCGTAAAATTTCGCGAAAATGAAGATGCGAATCACATATTCATCACTGACAGTTCTACATCAGCTTCCAGTCCTCGTTCTATGTGATGAACCTGCTCTAGACCCTTCATACTTGAATTTCATGACCTCAGAGTACCGACATGAACTTCTACAGCTTTGACGGCCTTTCTCGTCTGACATCCAATCGGTGTAATTTGCTGATTCGAAGCTCAGCTGTACGTAAATCGTCGGCGCTATTTATCATCGAGCCCGAAAGTCATACGTATATTTACAACCATACGTACGTCCCACGTGGTCTCCACGTCTCTTGAATCAGAATCTTCGGTTTCTGGGGCTCCGGTGGACTGTATTAGTATTAGCCCTGCCACCTTAGCGAGAATGTTCCGGCCATCGGCGTTGAATGTCATCCAGGTGAACATCGTGAATGGCACCTTTCCGATTTCCTATCCTCTTCAGACAACGCCACGATCGACACCAGACATGTTGACTTTTATACGTAGATGCCTCGGAATCATTCCTCCAGTCTCTGTAGGAGGCCGAGGGTGAGAAAATTCTGACGTCAAGACAAATGTTCAGATTATCCATCGAACATCGAAGCACAATCGCACTCACGAGCCGGTTGAGCGTTCGGACACAGAAGAAGAAGAAGAAGTTTGAAGGTTGAATTTGAAAATCAAAACTTCAAACTTCCGAAGAAGAACGCTGGTGCACAAAGCAAAAAAGTTTGAAGTGCATTTTGATTTGCTTTTGGACTTCAGATGTTTGTTGGTGTGATGATCGCACGCGCACTTCCGTGATCTGCAAGAGTGCAAGGCAAACTTATCGTGGATGGAGGAAAGTTGGTGGCCCTAAACCCACCCGCCCCGATAGTGTCTGTTGGATATCGGGATTGGTACGATGTCTTCGTCCTTAGCTTTCCAGTTCGTTCGATGATTTGTTCTCAGGCTGTTTGAAAAGCCGGTCCAAAGCCCAAGCGACGTATCCCTAGGTTTCCATCGAAACGAAGATCTATGACTGATCTTAATGAAAGGATTACGAAGCAAGATCGGAGTTGCGAACGGGGCTCATGCTTCTGCAGGTGCAGGAGGAATCGTACGTTTTTTTCGTTCCTGCTCGTTCTCGAATGAAGTGAATGTCGTGTTCGAATCCTTGTCAGGCACTCGATCGCATGTTGATCGACTTGTTACTCTATTCGGGGACCTCGGAAGTGTGAGTCTGACTTGCGCTCTCGAGGCAAAGTCCATCGAAGGATGACTCAATTTCCGAATTCGGACTCACGAATATAGACATTCTCGAACCGCGATGCGTGGCTCAACATTCGGAAAGACTTTGATTGCAGGCAGTTTGTACCTCGAGCGATCGCAGCACCGAATGGGCCGGAGTTAGATGTACTAGGCTTTCATGCAATTCGCGGTTCCCAGTCGTGTATCAGGATTCACGTGCAGGAGTCGACCCCGATCGATGTAAATCGAGATGGGCAGATCGGTGATTCCGATCAACGAGAAACTGGCTCGCGTCATAAAGGTACGTACTCCTGATTCCACGATGTCTGAATCGCATGATCGAGAGGATCAGTCTGCAGTCGTTTTCGGATTGTGATTCTTGAGACAGGTCTAGCGAGACGAAGATGGACGAGTACGACGTGAACGACAATCCTGCATACGATTTGGACGACGGTGGCGACGGACGCAGCGACGACGGAGGCGGAGCGTATCACGTGCTGGCGAATGATTCGGACGGCTCCCTCAACTTCGCGACCGGCGAACAGGTCGACGACGACGAGGAGCCGTATGAGAACGAGCCGGTTCCTCCACAACCAGCCGGTGGATCCCGAATTCGCGCCCGTCAGAACACGGACGGCAGAGGACGACCCCCAAGGCCCCGAAAACCGGTCAGCCCGCCGGCACGGGGCCGCACGGGGCCTCCTCGAAGGGCCGACGGCACATATATGCCGTATGAGAAGAGCTGGACCAACCGGCAGAAAATGCGGCGCGAGCTGCGGTCGCTGGGAATGCCAACGCCGCCGTTTCCGAAGAAGCATACCGGAATCACGCAGGATGAGGATTACGCGCACCTGGTGCTGGCGCGGATGGGAGTGATCCTGCCGCGATACATGAACCCGGTCGACGAGCTCGCCAGAGTGAACGCCGGCGGCGAGCTCCGTCATTACCCCGACGCGCCGGTGCAGCGGCCTTACCACGGTAAGTTTGCTCCGGGTGGGAAACAGGCGGTGGCTCCTGCAACTCCGGATCGGCGAGCCCCTCCGGCTCGGCGGGCCCCGCCGGCCCGAGCCTCAGCGCCTCGGCAAGCTGCGCCGCGTCGAGCGTCGCCTCGGCGAGTCGGACGCATCCGAGCCCCCCCGCCGTTGCGGCATCGGCGCCCGGAAGGCTTTGCCCAGAGACGCGACGACGACGCCGGCGAGAATCAGATACCGTCGAGAATCAACTATTCAGTACCATATTTTCCGAGACGCGACGAGGGCGGCGGCGGCGGCGGCGAGACCCAGAGGCGTCTAAGAGTCAAGCACGCGACCCAAAACCCGATCAGAATCAAGCACGCGGAACCTGTCTTGCGGGGAGCAGGAGCACAGCAGCCGACAGCAGGTAATTTCAGCGCCCCTGTGAGAATTAAATTCGCGGGTATCACTTATGTCCGAGAAGCTGCTCCCCCCGAAGAGATGTACATGGACGAGGTGGTGCCGGAATATAATGCTGAAGACATCGAGGAGCTTTATCCAGAGATGGATCTCGGGGAGGAAATGCAGGAAGATTTTTATCAAGACCTTGACGATGGACAAGGTGATATTGAAGATGACGGGGAACATCCGGCTTTCTGGTCCAGTCCTACGACTCAGTACCCTGATTCTGAGCTGCTCGAGATCATAGAGACGATGAAGAATATCAGTACTGGTGAAGCTGTTCGGATTCCCGGAGAGAACGATCCGGATCATGAACCTGCACGTGGAGATATTATTGTTCGCAATTTTGAAAACCCTCAGCATCGTATGCTCGAATACTTTGACCCAGATGTTGTTTTATTCCCCATTCAAGCTGGGGACAAATCAGTTCGGATCACCTACGACAGTGTGAATCGCGATGGAATGTGGCTTTGGAAAATTATGGCTGAGCTCCACATTTGCACAGGTCATCAAAGTACTTCGAGGCCACAATGGGTGTACCTCGGAAGGGCTTTGCATATTGTATCTCGAATGCCGGAAGATAACCCTTGGGATGTCACGGGTTTATGACTTACATGTTTAAACTGACTTCATTATTTTATTTTTCATTTATTTGTAGATCAAGCTTAATCAGTACTTGAAGCTTACCGATAATTGTATATCTACATATAGTTTTCTGATTGAAGAGAAGAGAAATATCCTGCTTGAAGCTTCAAATGGATTTCACACTTTTACTAGTTTGTTACTTACGAGCTAATATAACGCTTCTTTGTTGTCTACATAACATTGATCCGAGAGAAACCTTAACCAAATTATTCGTAATTCCATGAAAAACCATCCAGCGCCATGGTCATTTCCGAAATTGAAATCCCTCCAGATCTGGAATATCAGATTTTAAAATGATAGAAAACTTATTACAGCTTTTATAATGTCATGAGCTGAAATATTTGTTACAAGTTTAAGATTGTAAATCAGTTTCTAATTATGAATAGGAATAATCTCATATCGTTTAATTGTATGAAAAATTTCTTCTGAATTGATCCAATTAAATTTCTTATTTGGCATTTCAAAGGTCATTCACAGTGGCCTGGATTCTGGAATCGACCGAGAGAAACGAGAGCAAAGCCATCGTAAAGAGCAGAACCAGATGTATCAGAGAGATGCCATCCCCCCTAGATTCCCTTTGATCCCTTTGAAGTTTCAAGTTCGATCAGAATCGATCAGAAGGAGCAGATTTGTCCTCGATTGGAACAGCTAAATCTCATTTCCGTCTCCATCTCGGGGTAGGAATGTTCGAGAAGGATGTAGTCCATATTGAGTCACCATTCTTACCTGCTACTGTCGGTAGCAGTCTTGAACTTGTGCAGCCTCGATCGGATCCTGAAAACAGACTCTTCCTGAAGAGAACTCATGGGATGATGAAGGAGACAAGCGAGCGAGCTTTCATGTGCTCCCTTAGAGATAAAGTCCTGGACCGCTTATGAAGTAACCACTAACGATCTCTTGAAAGTGAATATCTTCGAAAAAAGTTCAGAACCTCTCGGAGTCATATGGGGACCTATCGATTTCGTTGCTTTCAGGCATGCTTCGCCATGATCGTGGCTAAATCTTAATTTTGATATCTATATCGGACCATCGAGGATGCTGCTTGTCACCTGAAACGTGTCAGAACCTTAGGTTGTGAGGCGCGCACACTCTCCCTGGCTCATCCACTACTTGATAAGGGTTGTACAGTACATAAACTTAGAACCGTAAAAATATATTTTTGAAGTCGAGTACTTTCATTCCCATAAATTGCTATCACATAGTCACTGATACAGGTACTTGAAGTTTCCTGATATTGAGATAAATGAAAATATTTGTCCATGACTATGATGGTTCGACAAATTTTTCTTACAATGCATCAGATATTAAATTTTTATTATATACAATATATTAGACATTAATCCTTTCTCTTCGGAATGTACTGATATATTTATGATTTCAGATCAGGTGACTCGTACAGATCCTGTTATTTTAATCTGAAAATTGAAGACATGTCGCATATTACTTCTGAGTATAGGAATTTCAGATACAGTGTACTTTATAGTTGACATATTTGAAAGATAAAATGATCAGATATGTGGTGGGAAAAGTTTTTTACAACGGGATATTTTGGAAGAAGATGTATACGTTCACGACGGGTATAAAATTACATTTTATTTAGTCTTCACAAATTAATATAAAAAATAAAATGTTTTACTCAGTGGTGGATATTTTCGGAAATCGTCTCAATCTAACAATTAGTCTATAAAACTGAAGTCTGTAGAAATTGTTAGAAAAGATGGCAAGTGTTGCATCTTATCAACGGACTGTATCTTGGATGCAGTACGAGCAATTTATCACTATTATCCTAAATTCGGAGGAAGCTGGAAATAAGGATCACATTAGTTTGAAAAGGAAGCAGAATGACTGCCGTGGTCGTGAGTATTCAACAATTACGGACATTTTCAGAGACAGTCTGACATCTGAGTCATGTCAGGGACGATCTGAGAACGCAAAAGTCCAGCGCAGTGCATCAAACCTGAACTGGACTTGACAGTGAATCATGTCACGATGATTCACTGATACGGAGTTTCATGTGAGTTTTACTGAAATTGAAATCGGAAAAGGTGGAAGTACCTGTGCCTGCAGACTTCAATTGCTGTTCGAGACCGGAAGCAAGGACGAAGTGCTCAGCACGAGGTTCGGACCTGCTCTGTGTGAATCCACCCACCTACATGTCAAGCACACGACAAGTCTTATAGATCAGAGAGAGAGAGAGAGAGAGAGAGGAACTGCGCTGCCGAGGATGAATCAGACCCATCAGAAGAAAGGATATAGAGCTCGCTGAACAACAGGATCGAAATCTGCACGAGAGATATGGTGTCATCACTTGTACCGTAGAAGTGAGCTCGTCGCTGATTCACATGTGCCTGTGAGTGCGTGAGGCCCCTTGGGCAATTGGACTTTCACCCACACTGCTCGGAGTTTCAGATGAAGACCGTCCCTTGAGAATTGATGCCGTCCCTCAAAGAATTTCAGTCGAGCTGTGATCGAATCTGCTGCTGCTGCTGTACGAGAATGGACAATCGGAGCGGAGTCCGAGACCGACTTCCTTCAAGCTGAAGGAAGTGGTCGGTGGCAGACTCTAACTATCGATGACAACCCCGGCGGCTGTAGAATTTCTCTCGAGACCTTCGAACCTGAAGCTGTCTGCGAATGGTGGTCGGTACGGTTGCTGACTGAACATGCGCAGCGATTTCTTGGCGTTGTCGATGTGAATCCAGCGGAGTCGCTCGCCGTCCCCGTCCGACACACGGCCCGGCAAGTAGCGATAGAGAGTGGACACGAGCACCATCTTATCGGACGCAGGATTGTAGGCGAATCTATGGCGAAGCAGGTGGTCGAACTTTTTGAACACAGTCTCTCGGCGGTCGTAATAGAAGGTGATCATCTTCGGCTTACTCGTTTGGTCATCGTCGTTGTCCCTCGTCGGTCTATTGCGCAGAATTATGTCTCCCATTGCTGGCTCCACATCGTCCGATTCCATGACTGCCATCTTTCCTTTCCTCTCGCGTTGAGCTGAAGGGCCCTCAATGTCGCGCTCTCCTCCTCCTCCTCCTCCGACGCGCTCTCCTCGTGGTCCGATCATGAGGCCTTTACCTTTACCTCCTCGTCCTCCTCCTCCTGGCCTGGTCATGAGGCCTTTCCCCGCTCGTCGAGGCTGTCGGAGACCGATGGGATCCTCATCCTCGACTGGCCCCGATTCTCCTCCTGCTCTGCTCATTTTCGCTTGAACTTTCGATTTCTGGGAGCCCGATTGCCCGACGGGGCTTTTGGGTTTAGGGCACGCGCAGGCTATGGCGAGTTTGCTCGATGGAAGAACAAGGCTTTGCTGCGAGGCTCGCGGGTTGCTCGCAGCATGGGACGAAGAAGGTGGGACGACTACGATGCGCTCTCGCGACGGTGATCTCGGCGTGCCTGCGGGCGATTGCTTCTTGGGCGTGCCGTGAGAGCTGGCGGGCTTGCGAGGGATGCTCCCGAGCCTGTCCTTTTTGGCGTTCCTCTCGCCCACCGCAGCGACGGGATCTGCGGCCTTGCGAGGAGAAGGTCCTGATTTCGATGCTGCTGCTGCCGATGCCGATGCCAATGCCTTGTGAGCGACGGGATCCGAAGGGCGATGGCTGATTTCTTTCTGCCCCGCCGCAGCTTCTGTGGAAACGTGTGTGACGCTAGGGTTACGATCTTCGTGCGCTGCTTGAGGCAAACTCGGTGCGTCACCCGAGGCCTCGAGGGCCGCAGCGATGGCGTTCCGCTGAATCAGAGCTAGCGCGGATCCGGGCTTTCCATTCGCAGGAGCAGCTGCAGTTCCGGGTCGTCCGAAACACCGGAACAGGCTCAAATTCGACCTCGCTGGAGGAGGAGGAGAAACTCGAGCGAGCTGCGTCTGCGCAACTTTCACGATGGCCCCGGCGCTGCTTTCCGACGCCCGATTGCTCTTCGCTGCTGGAGATTGAGAGCCACCTTCTTGCGCACCACCTTTAGCAGATGGAGATGCCGGCTCCCTTCTCACGCGTTTCGGGGCAGGCGCTTCCGAAGCCGAATCCTCGGCGTCCGTATTTCTGGGCATTCTGGACGGCGCATGTCGGGGTATTCGTCACGCACTCCGCTCGCTCCATACAATTAATCTCATGCAAAATCCTCGTCGATTGCTCAATCCGAATTTTCTCTCCGACTCGGCCCAATTCAATCTAGATCTAATTTCCTACTCCTACTGATGCTCAAATCTGCGCAGTCTACATTGATCTGTATATCACCCGATAATTTCGACCCTGATCATATCCTCTTCGATCGACCATATAACTGCGAAGGTACCTTCCTCATGCGGCACCCCAGCCTGTGCTTCTTAGGGTTTCGAGCTTGTGATCCCGAAATTCGACGAGCCCTGCCTCGAATCCCAAAGCTGCCACCACCATCTCTGCACTCCGACCACCAACCGTTGCTTTCTGGGCAAGTCGCGTCTCTTCACTATCATTAGAGCTCGCTCAGTGTGCAGTCCATGTGCCCCGACCCCTCCGGATTATCGCCTGGACTGCGCAGTCTGCAATCTCGGCCACGCTCATGGTCCAGCTGTTCAGTGATCACTGATTTGTCGAGGCTGCACAACTCACCAGCAGCTTCATGAGATCAGGATGGATCGTTCAAAAGAACACGATCAGCTGTCGACTCGACTTCCCGAAAAAAAGAGGCGATCCTCGATCTGATCTGCACCTGATTGCTCGAGTACCAGCAGCAATTGGGTTCGATCTGAGAGATTTTGGGGCTTTTGCCATGATCAGAACAGACAACAGGCAGTGCAGTGTAGTGTAGTCACTGTTATTAACTTCCACAATGAGAGTCCCAGTGATGGCTTGATATATAGTCCGGGATGATCTCAAAAACTCCCCAGAAATGCAGACACAACTAATGTCTTGCTCCAGTTTTTCCTATCTCTTAGCTTTGCCATATCGTAGCTGGTTGGAAATTTGTTGGGTCTTAATTTCACATGCAAAAAGCTAGTGCGCTCAATGTATAAGTGTATCTAAAGGAACATTATATAGAGCTCGTTGCTGATAATTCCCACAGATCTTCTGTGGGACATGATTATTCTGCAAATCAGGTAAGATTTGAGTACTCAAGTACTCATCCAAATCTGTCTGATCCTCCTGTTTTCCCAGAAGCAAATCCTGAAGACCACTGACCAGTGACCCGAGTGATGTTTCCTCCACCTCCATCCTTCCAATCACAAGAAAATGCTTAGCGTTAGATCACACAATTGGAGCTGAATATTAGTGATTTGCAGCACAGTTGGAACGGTGCTAGATTTATGGCGAGGAATCTGTAAGTTGTTAGCAGAGAATGCAATGGTAAGCGATGAAAGGGTGATAACTATCATGCACTCTTGATCGCTTGATCTGATAGACCAAGTGTCCAATGTTATGAATCTTAGCTGATCTGATTCTGAACAGCATTAAAAAGAAAGGGGCAAAACAACTTTGTACTGTATATAAAGTCCACCATATCACAAAATACATCACAGTAGACATTCACTGGAACCTGACTCACAGTCTTTACACCGGATCGAATTCTCTCAGTCCTTTACTTAATTCACAGCAAAGAAACCAATGCTTCCCACCCACATCGTTTGCTATTGAAATGGGACGTATCCAATGAGACCTCCAGTTCATCTCGAATTCATATCTTCGATATCATGTCTACATTCTGCACGAGATCGGTTTCTCTGTGCAGATTTCTCTGCATGATGACGTTAGTCAATGGTAGTATAGTTCAGTCACGGATACTTGAGGCACATAGCTTGTCACTTGCTCCTCGAGTGGGAAAGGAGATGAAAACTGATTTGAATTCTCAAATTCCATTGTACAGCAATCTACATCTGCAGAAGGTTCCTATTGCTGTGCGACAATTGAGAGGGAGACTACCATCAAGTCCTAGCAATATCAACCATTCGGAAGCAGCTCCTCCGCCCAAGGTCGATCCTCGCAAACGATTCGATCGTCATGAATGATGTTCTCGGAATCTGTAAGTGTAGAATTAGAAGCAACCTTCGTGTGAGCGTAAACTATTCAGTCGAGCTACAGCACAGAGCAGGAAGTTCCGATACTTGTTCTGAGGAGATTTCCTGTTGAAGTCCTCGAGGTATTCAATTAAATAAAGAACTGAACAACTGTTTGGTTCAAAGCAGAGATTAACTGCGGACGTTGTCTTTTGTAGAGCGGGACGCATTGCGGGATACGATGATCTTGTGAATAGGGACTTCAAATTCCGATATTACAGGAACGGACTCTTGATCTCGGCGAAGGTGAAAACAGATTATGCTCTGTGCCTGCGAGTACCATCAATCTGATTGAAGGAGTATGGGCATTGCCGTTGAAGGTGAAGTCAGCGAAATCAGTGAATGTCTGACGACTTCGCTATTTTGGAGTAAATCCATAAGTCTACAGATGATGGCCACTCGTCAATCGGTCAATGCTTTACACAGAACATGGACGTCATGAGTTTGAACTGACGGTAATCTTCAACTGTAATCAATCATAACTTGTGATAAATATTATCTTATGGAACATTCATGGCTGTCACTTCTTCTATTAGTTGACTTGTTGTGTAGCAGGTTACATGTACCGCAAATAAGTTTTGAGAATTGAACATTTGGGAACATTCGGATTGAATTTTTCTCCACTTTCGTTCAAAGTAAAGGGAAATTTCATTCCCTTTTCAACATCATCACGTACGAGATTCGTAGATATTTCTTTAGTTTACAACCTCATTCTGAGTGTGTCCCGTATGATCTCTCACACTGGCAGCTAGGAAATTTGCGGATAAGCTCAAAAACTGTTACTTAATAGGGGAGGAATTCAGACTTCCGCCATTTGAATCCTGGTTAATGTATTACCTGCTCCATTCAGCTACTCACACGAGCGTTATTACCTGACGAACTGCTTCATGTAGGGAACATGATTCTGCAGCAAGAAACTCGGCATCATATATTCGTTACAGACCCTCTTCTACCCGTCGGAGATATCATTTTCCCTGGCCATTCTGTTCGAATATTTTGGGATCTCACTCTTCCGGACATTTAGATCCTCCCTCATAGCTTCGACAATTCCTCACACAAACTTTGCATAGATCGACAGTGCCAACTGACTGCTTCTGTAAAGTCTGCCATGCAGATGCGCTCTTTCCAACTTAAGTACACTTCGAAATGCAGAGAGAAAAACAGTACGACGAAGCGTTGCGTGCCATGACTGCAGTACATCTTCATATACAGAGTTCCTCCATAAATCCAAACCCAGGCAATAGTCTTCACATGGCAGGAAGATATCTAGTTGCGACATCTACTATCTACTACTCAATCAGGTTCACAAACGCATCATTACTTAGCACCACGATTTACTCACATTCTCTCAAACTCCATAATCCAGATGAAATTTCTAGTTACACAATGCTATATACGTGAAAGTCGTTACGTCTTTATTGAGACATATTGTAGCATACAGTAGGTAATAATCCTCATGATGGAACGGCCGTGGATCCTTTTCTCACAGGGCAGTAATACAAGAGAGGGCCATCAGTTGTGTGCCAATCTGCCAAAACTACTACCCATATTTCTACACGACCAGACATAATTCCTCAAAACTATCGCATATTATTACATACAGAGCCGGGACAATCTACGAGCTGATCTGAAGACTCGCCACAAACCACATCTCTCCAGCGGATACAGGTCATTTCAGGCTTCTGGTTTTCGCAGATGATCCAAAGAACTTGAACTCCCGGTACGCCGTTCGAAGCTAGAATGCAGATATCTCCAAACCAATTCGCAGGTGATACAACAAGATTCAACTCCTAGTAAGCTGGAGGTGGTGGAGAGCTGTACTTGTAAACTGGGGGAGGAGGAGAGCTGTACTTGTATGCGGGTGGGGGAGGAGAGCTGTACTTGTATGCTGGTGGGGGAGGGGATTTGTACTTGTATGCGGGTGGGGGAGGAGAGCTGTACTTGTAGGCTGGTGGTGGAGGGGATTTGTACTTGTATGCTGGGGGCGGTGGGGACTTGTACTTGTATGCAGGAGGGGGAGGCGACTTGTATTTGTATGCTGGGGGAGGTGGTGACTTGTAGTAGTACTTGGGAGGAGGAGGCGACTTGTAGTAGTATGGCTTAGGAGCTGCAATCAACGACGACGAACGTCAGTGAAATTTGAGAGACTTCCTAACAACCACCCTCAGCTTCGAATCCAAGCTTCTATTAAACGAGATGCAAAACGAATGGTCGTAGATGTGTTCTCACCTTGGCAGCTGACAGCCTGCTTCTTGCCGCACTTGCTGGCGACTTGCTGCACCTTCATGAGATCCACCGAAAATTTAAACTTGGACTTCGCAGCTTTGCAGAGACAGTCGGCAGATTCCTTCCTCATGATAATGCAGCACAGAGAGTGGTAACTTGGGTAGTAGCTTTTGTAGTAGGATTTCTTCACGTACGCCCCACATACTGCGCCGAAGTGAGCAGCTGGCCCACACTTCGGGGCTGGGTAAGCAGGCTTCTTGGGCTTTTCGTAAGCTTTTCCAGCAGACACAATGCTAACAAGTGCCATCACCATCAGGCACAAGGCCAGGAAGTGCAACTTCCTGAGACCCATTTCTCCTGCACTCACGAGCAAGCACCAATGTAGCACCTCAACCCGCACGTTGAAGCTCACTCCTGACTACGCTCCCTGTTGCCACAGCTGCTGGCTGTGAAAGTGTCTGTCTCCACCGGCAGATCTGAGCTCATTAAGTACTCCCCAACTGCTGACCGAGTCAAGGTAACTGGCACAATGAGATTGTAAAGCATACTTGCTTGAAAGTTCCACATCGACTTGACAGAAGGGCTTCGGCTAATCCGAAGTAAGAACAAATGCAAGTGTCAGATAGAAACACTTGAGAGAGTAAAATTTGTGAAGAAATTATTTTCTGTATTTTATCTTACTTTATTTCTCGTCCTCTGTCGACATTTTAGCTTGGACTATAGTGCCAGCGGTGTTGCCGGGAACTGGAACATTAGTAGCTTTCCAACTACTCTGTTCCCATGTTGCGCAATAAATCAGTGTCGAAAGACATGTTCTTGCCCTCTACTTTTCTTGCACTGCCTTCCATTTTTTCACCTGGTTCAAGTCAGTGGAGCAGCCTGATACAGATCAGTTCGAGGTGAAGGTTGCGACTTGTGCTCAACGAAATTCTTTTGCAGGCTGGATTCATCTATGATTAGTTTCACCTGCGTATTTAGTGTCTGATCACGGGCTTATGTGCAAATCTTCACTCTTTCGAGTGATAGGGAGAGGAGGGACCAGCGCTATGATGATGATGATGATGCTACGGGTTCCGATTGTGAGTTCTAAATATAATTGCCCACGGGCTTGAAGTCCGTGTGAGTCCCTTCGCCCAGTTCGGTGAGATTTTGCGTTGGTTGGGGACATGCCTTTCCACGAACTGTGGTCAGAAGAAAGGAGGATATCTATCTTTCGTTTGTCCAGTCCTATTCATTGGCTGTGTGGACTCTGACATTCTCTCGGGAGAACTTTCCGTAAAGAAGTTGGTCCCCCTCGTTGTTGTCGAGAGTGCTAACTTCCACATGCTGATGCTTTCCATGTCCCCTCGCTGGAAGTCGGCTGGCCTAGTGGTAGTCAACTGGTGGGAATTTGTATTTTCAAACCACTGGCTCGACTATGTACATGACGTGAAGGCTTTAAGTGGCACTAGAATATGATTCTCGCAGATTGAGTCTATTTTTATGTTTCATTCTTTAGTTTGATATGGAAACTCATGAAACAGAGCTGCTGTTTTCTCTCTTCTTCTTGTCCACTTGAGATAACAAAATTTTCATTTGATCTACCAAATATTCTCCATCTTTTGAAGTGTGATTTTAGTGCATTGTATTTATGTTTACCAAGCACCCAAGGTTAGACGGAGAGTGATATGAGATTTAGATGCGGGGCACCACGACGCTAATCTAAGACCAAATACCGATGATACTTCCAACAACACATTGCAACTGCATAACGTTGTATCCTATGATCTCTGCCACCAAATTCATATTCTACATATATTTCACAATCCAAATTTCTATTTTCAAAAGTATAAGGTTAGTTCTCAAGAAGAATAAAAATATGCAAAAAATGTCATTGGTGTTGGTTATTCAAATAAAAGTTGTGTTCTCTGTAAATTGAAGGAAATGAGTGGATTAAAACTGTAGAATCCGCTTGTATCAAAGATGATAATCAAGCTTCGGAAGAGGGCAAGATCAAGAATGGTAAGGTGTTTTCAAAGCAGCCCTGTTTTTATGGAGCAAAAGGATATGGGAGGTCAAAAAAATTGAAAAACTCGGTTCATAATGTCTCTCTAGCATGTGCGTATGTAGCTTCTACATGATTGATAAAAGCCTAAATGTTGATGAATTTCTGATGGTTAGACGTCCTAAAACCTTTGGTGGTTTGTGACATGAGTCGATAAAGCGTACAATACAGAGATAAGAAATAAAACCCGAAGGAAATAAAGGAGTTAGAGTAAAGAAAAATAGAAAAATAAATATCCAAATTCAAACACAACTAGGAGAAGGGGAAAACAAGACATTCTGCAAGCTGGAAAATAGAGTGCAAATCACCTAAATATAAAAAATGTGAGCGGTAAATCTCAAAACCAATTTTCTATTGCAATACATCCCAAAAAGAAACGAAGAATATTTTGACTTTGCTGAGTATGATGGAAACAAAGGCCAGTTGGACTTACAGCTCGAGCCCCTTCTGTAATTCACATGGAAACGAGGCGCAGTATCGAGGAAACTAGCTCTCCTCGAAACTTGCTTGCTGTGAATCACTGATGTCGACGTGCCTAGTGATAGATGAGTGGTACTAGGCTCTATTCTACTCCCCACGTTGCAAGGAAGATGCTATTCATAGATTTCGAAAGGGTCTCTGAGAATCAGTCTTATTTTGGTGCATAATAAAATCCGAACTGGCAATAGCTTATGTATAGAAATACTGAGGATCGCCACGCCTTCTGACCCAGGACTGCATTGATTGCCAGGAGCAGCATAGTCCAGAAGATGGGGTTGACATTCGATCGTCGATGCGTTGCTAGAACTTACTGCTTTGTCCTTTGTCCTTGCCACAGCTCTCTCCGGATCGACAGGTCGTGGATGTCCCTTGCAAAAGAAGACCTTCGTGGATGTCCATCCATCACTGTCTTCAACTGAGTTATCTCTGCTTCATCTCAGACGACAAATTTGAAAGGCGCAGGCTAAACCAGAGCTTCTTTGAAGAGCCAGAGATGCATTGCGTCGCAATTACAGTATCACCGCTTCTGATCATCCTCCCGATTCTTGCTTCTTCATCAGCAACATGTTCTGAGTCTCCTCAGGATAATGTAAGCAATTAGAGTCTACTGCCAGTGAACAAGTCAACCTGAAACTCGGTACTGGTATGGGACGACGGTCCTGGATGGATGGATGGGACCGTGGCTGCTCGTGCGCCATCTGTGGTTCATAGATCAGAAGTTAGTGTGGCTTCGGGCTCTGCTGGGGCTGAGGTTCAATTGAAATCAGCTTAAATATAGCTCTGCCACGGTTCTGAACTTTCTTCCGATTGACGCTACAGAGGATATTCTACATCTGGTTCAGCTGATACCACTGTCCATTTTCACACATTTGACGAAGTCTCATCAAAGTCACGAATTCCATATTGCATTTTAGGAAGTGTGATCGATAATTGGCAGCCAGGAGGTGCAAGACAACAGTTTTATTGGGCGGAAACTCTTTAAATTGACCAAAATGCAAGGGCTGACCGCCTATTTCGTTACAGTCGAGTACTGATTAGAGCAAATTGCATCTCCATACCTATTGATGTTGACTAAACCCCGATCCGACGAGGCTATTGATGTTGACTAAACCTCGATCCGACGAGGCTTAGCGGGTCCATGCAAATCAAATTCGACCGGGAGAGGAAAGCGTGAACCGTTCTATCTCGCAGTGTGTGATAATACCTCGATTGGAACCTATTACAAGTTACGGACAGAGCGATGCCTCGCATTGTAGAAGCGATTCGACGTTCAAGATTCAACACCTGGCATCAATTGTCAAGTTTTGCCTCGTGCTGTCCAAATTGCTCTGAGCTCGATACACACGCACGCACTTATCGGGGCAGGTGGACTTTCAACCCCGACGTCTTAAACGAGCCTTGGAAGAAAGCTGGCTTTAGATCTGCCCAGAGTTTTGGCATGCCAAGTTCAAGACCTCAGAAAGGATCTCGCACATCCGTGATTCACTCCAGCCGGACGACTTTGTTTGTGACACACTCTACCACCTCCTATGAATCGAAGGACTGGCACTGTCCAGCAGCAGCTGCTGCCTCTCCAACTGGAAACCATCCAAAGTCGACTTCAAGGTGCCAGAGGAGAACATGCAAATAATCCAAGAGATGAGATGGATTTCAGACCAAGACTCCTCTGACTCGGAGGTTTGGATTTGGTCCTGCCACATTTCTCTGGCTTGAGGTTCCTCTACTCTGCTTGGCTCTCTCGTCCGTGTCGATGCACCCTCGAAATCGAGATGAGTGAAGTCCTTTCCAGTTTGTCCCGATGGGACAGACAAATTCTCGTGTGGCAGTCATGCTTCGAAGGGTCAAGAGTGTTTATGATTTTGCAACTCTGAGATAGCACGTTGCCTCGCGTTGACCTCGATCCTCAATGTGGGAATCCAGGGGTCGACATTGGTGCTTCAAGGGAAGGTTCTTAAATCTTCCTCCTCTTCTCTCTTACTTCTGAACAAATACAAACGAAGGAACGTCCAACTTCTGTAAAATTGACGAGGCTCGCATACAATGAGCTGCTCTAATGTCATCATGTCGCACCTCCACCTTGCATCGCACGAGTGTCAGGCTCTTGAAACTCTAATTCACAAGTTTCCAAAAAGCATCAGAAAAAGTGATTGGAAATATGCGCATCAAATTAATTGCTTGTATTCTGGTCTTTTCTGAAATAACTCCATCCCTGGATCTTGGATAAGGCCCTTGCGCTCGAACAACGCAAAGGTCAAAAGCACTTTTTATCGTCTGTAAAGACTTCCTTCGCATTACAAAATGAGCTACAAATTTGGCAAATTAGTATCATGCACTGACATACTTTCTCTCTGGAAGAATAACACAAAATCTTGAGAAATCGATTGACTCGTCATGCACAAACTTCAAGATGGGCTGAGGGCGGTTTAGAATCAACTCTGCTTGTGATGACGTGGAGATATCAACTAACGTTGTTAATCAACGCAAGAGTTAACCAGACATGACGAGTTCTATTTTGTTCAGGTCGTTATGTTATCTAGTTCAGGAAATTTCACATTATTTTCTTTCATAAAAAGAGGAGATCATGTTCTTCTCAATACTTGTGTAAATATGGAAAGATTTTCAGTATACAGCTATGATTTTTGATTTTTATGGTGATATATTACAAACTTAATGGGAAAATTACGGAATATATGAGAAAATACTTTGTTCTTTCAAAGGAGAAAGGTGACCTGAGATTCCGTAGAGAAAGTGGGTCATGGGTACGTTTTCTGGTACGGTACTTTCTGCAGGTTCCCAAAGCTAAGGAGCTTTAAGACCACGTGTAAAATCCGGCTAACGGTCAGCCAGCTGCAGCTGCTGCAACCGATGGGCTAGAAGTCAATGGATCGTGTTGCAGCATCTCGCAACGAACATGATCCAGACGACAACGTGATGCCCAGCATCGACCCTTCTCCGTCACCAGCGCTGGGATCCACTTTCTGTACATGTCAGGGCTTCTCTTCTTCGTGTCACGTGTTGTGTCGGCTGCTCAGGTGCTGCTGAGCAACATGAATTTGCAAGTGGATAGTCTGATACTGTGGGCCTAGCCTTTGGTGTCCCTTTGGTTACTTCCTCTTCATCTTGATTCGGATTTGGGTAGATTTTTTAACACACACAAATAAGTCTAATCTTAATAGGGTATATACGATCAAAAGTGTAGATTAAACTAACTAATGCAGTAGCAACCATCTTTGATATCCTCATTTTAAATTTTTTTGCAATAAATTACAATTATATTCTAGATAGTAGAAAATATATAAATATAAGAAACGATAAAGCAATTTCTTTTCTTTTTTGTGCAACATCAAAGCACTCTCATCATTTTAACGAATTTTTTTCCACCTCCACACGGAACTCGATAGGACTGACAAGAACCTGTAAGTTTTGGAATAGTCAGTTTTATTCTTTGAATAAGAATAGTATTCTGATTCGACTCATACCTATAAAAAGTGAGTGGGCAAATGATACCTCTGGATTTGAACCGGATCAACTCCAAACGCATCGCAAATGAGAGTTGGGATGAGATGAGAGTCTATGCTTGCTTTCATTGGAAGCAACTCAATTGAAGGGTACAGTTGACACTACCATATTTTCTCAGACTCTTTAGTCCCGCAATTCCCTAAGAGGGTTATAGTTTATGTAAAAGAGAAGGTGGAGCCAAAGCCTCTAGAAGAAAGAAAATATGAATAACATTCATGAATTCTTTTCGATGCCTGGAATTCATAACTTCGGATATATTTTACATAGCAAAAAATGTGATTAATATGAAATTTGAGTTTTAAAATATTTAGTTTTAAACTATATATTTTAGTTTAGTAGTTCGTACTTTTATTCATATTTCAAACATCTCTTCATCTAGTGATATGTATATGTTTTCAACGACTTTTCTTTCACATTTTCTGATGAAGAAGGTTACATATGTGATGTAAATCCAGTTGAAATAGCAGGAATATTGCCCAATCCATTTAAAACACTCTCTTCATTTTACGTCTTAGACTTACTCAATGAGCTCTTTAGACAGAGAGTTTTATTTTCCACAACTCATAACCGGTAATGCTTTCGAATACTATTATCTTCATTTCGAATGAGAATAAATATACACACTTTATATTTAAATATCATATTCCATAAAAAAATCCATACAAATATTTATATTTATTCTCATAGTAGTATTTCTTTCTTTCTTTCTTTATATATATGGAATATATTTCGATTTGAATCTGGAAAGGTTGATTATTTTCTTATATGAACTTCAAATGAAGTTATGGCAGCCAGGATATCCCGATATAAGGGTAGACATAATGAATAATTTTTCTCTTCTAACCTTCCATTTTATGTTTTTGTGAAATAATCCACAAAATATAACCATATGTGGGAATAATGGCTACGGCTTTTTTTTAATGCTTGTGTAACATCCAGATAAAGCATTAGCTAGAGTTATTTGTAGTATATCAATAGATTGTCAAGATACTTATTTGTTTGTAAATCATTTTAGCCAGATAATTCCGATGCACGTGTAGTATGATAATTTTTCCATTTCGATGGCATGGAGCCTTAGCACAGTGTAGCACCTGTTCATCACTTGAAAGCTCGAAGAGTTATTCCCTTACCTTTTGCTATATCTCACTTGTTCACTCTTTGAGCTTTAGTTTTGTTCTTGAAGTCTGATTGATAGAAAGCAATGCGAGACGACTGTAGACTATTGGAAGAAAGAAGATAGGACTGTGATAGAGAGTGCAATGGAGTCAGCTCTTCAGGATGCCAGTTACCAAAACAACCTCGTAGATTTGGGTCACATTTCAATGATAGATTTAAAACGAACTGTCCTTGCTTGGGATGAGGCTGGGTACGAGGATTTCTTCCTTTCTCGTCTGAGGAATATTTAGACATGCAGACTTGTACCATGGCAGACACTAACTCTGTGCATAGTCATTCGGAAGAAGCAACAAGGTCGTCAGCCACGAGAGTCTTCGTCGTCTGCGTGTGCATAGTTGTACTCGTACTTATAAAATTGTAAGTTTCTGAGAACGTCTCACATCATTTCTTAGGGACCACTTGCACGTCCAAATTCAACTCCTGCTCCAGATTCGGCTGCAGGCCAGAGGCTTTCTTCAAGGAAATAAGAGATGAAGGGCTCCGCATGAAAAAGCCCGAGCAACCCCTAGGCTGTCTTTTACACGATATCTAGAAAATTCGGCAGACCAGAACAGGTCTGATTCGTTCATATCACATTCAGGGCAACGATGGTAAAGTACTGAATTGCTCTACACACGAGCAGGTGACAGACATTGCAGCTGCAGCAGAAAGATAAAGAACTGCACGACAGAACATCCATGCTGGGATTCAGTGTCACGTAGGGCTGCTTGTTACATACCTTCTGGTCAAGGAACTGCTGTCTCAGATAATTAGAAAAGAACAGAGATAGCAAGAAGGAGGAAGGAAGACAAGTACGTGAGATGAGACACAGGACTCTCAGGAAATTCTTGGAACTTGTAGTCCTTTCTGTAATTGATGCTGTGGAATATGTGGCAGCGCCATCGGAAGGTTGCAAAGGGTAAGGCATTTGCATTTGATCGTGTTGAGGAATTTACAGTGTCATGACTCTCTTGCTATGAAATATATCAGCTGCATCGATGCAGAAGACATATTGCTGGGAAGGTCTGCTGGACTGAGATACCATTAACTAGGAATAAAGGTTTGAAGATGATTGGATCTAGGGTGTGATACCCCTTCTTATCGACCTCGTGGTCCGAATTCAAGCAGTTATGTGAACTGCCCAAAGCAGAGTAAAGTATATGCACCCATCCTCGTTAGGAGAGAAGCCCAATTCTCGTTGCAGTAGGTTGCAGTAGGTATTCTAGGTGAGTGTAGACAACTCCAAGACTGTCAGGAAACCATTTCTTTCACACTTGGCCCGGTCCAGTCAGGGGCTCAGGATTGGGCTGCACCTCGAGCTAAGTAAAAATCTGGTCGTAAGAGATGCGGCGGAGTGCAGGATCGGCGTATTTCATGCTCTTTACATTCTAACGAAGAAGAGCGAGCACCTTCTGCACTTCATAGGTTGACACGAACACAAATCTGCTCCATGTTCCAATCTCGCATTGCGGTCGATGTGGTCTGAGATTCTCATGGATTCATTATTCTCCAAATCTACAATTACACTTAACGGACAATCACTAGTTTGGCCGCCTCATTAAAACCACGGCTGCGTTTCGGCCATTAATTGGCACAGGAGGGATGTCTACACAGCTGACAGGATACAGTCTGAGTAAACATCAGCTACATTCTCCAGGCTCATGCTTCCGGTTATTATAGCCATGTGATCGGGTAGTATTCACAATGAATAGAACATCCGACGCCAAGTAGCGCGGTTGACTACACACTATATCTGTAAACATTCAGACCAGCGTTGTTGATATTATCGTCCAATAATGTTCTGTTAGCTAAGGCTCTGAACTGACTCCTGAAATTGCCTCGTGCTGCGTATTGCAGTTGCAGTCATTGATCAACAGTAGGGAATGATACAAATTTCCGAAAGACAGTTCAACTTATTCGGAGAAAGGGACGTGATACGTTCCAGCTAGCTAAGACCTGAACTGACAAACACCGCAAACCTGCGACCTTCACTACTGACGCACATTCCTCTACACTCCAGAGAGCAGTAAACAAATTCGTGTCTCCGCTAATGAAATCGAACCTTTATTGAGTTTGACAGTCCGCGATACGGAATGACATTTGATCACTCTCGCACGAGGAATACCGGAGGCAACGATCTGTTGAACCTCCATCTAAGATTGAAGTCTTACACAAAAAAATCGGTGAATCTAATATGGCATACATTTGTAAGCCATCGTTATAATAATGAATAAATGCGACGTAACTAATCCGAAAAGACATCTCTACGGACTGAAGATTCATACAATAGTCCCGATCATCATCCGGGGATTAGAGCTCCTTTCCGACTATTTCAAAGCGCAGCCGGTTTCTGAAACCCGAACTCCTCCTAGTACCCTTCCGATGGAGGAGAGGTATTCTCGAACGCGGGCGGTGGAGGAGAACTGTATACGTATGCAGGCGGTGGCGGGGAGCTGTATACGTATGCTGGAGGTGGAGGTGAGTTGTATACGTATGCTGGAGGTGGAGGTGAGTTGTATACGTATGGGGGTGGAGGAGGGGAGCTGTACTTGTAAGCCGGTGGTGGGGGAGAACTGTATTTGTACGCCGGTGGTGGTGGAGAACTATACTTGTACGCCGGTGGTGGGGGAGAACTGTACTTGTACGCCGGTGGTGGGGGAGAACTGTACTTGTACGCCGGTGGTGGTGGAGAACTGTACTTGTACGCCGGTGGTGGGGGAGAACTGTATTTGTATGCTGGTGGTGGTGGAGACTTGTACTTGTATGCTGGTGGTGGAGGAGAACTGTACTTGTACGCTGGAGATGGGGGAGACTTGTACTTATACGCTGGTGGGGGAGGAGACTTATACTTGTACGCTGGTGGGGGTGGGGACTTGTAGTAGTATGCAGGTGGTGGTGGGGACTTGTACATGTACTTGGGAGGAGGAGGCGACTTGTAGTAGTACTTGGGAGGAGGCGGAGATTTGTAGTAATACGGTTTACGAGCTGCAGTCGTCAAAGCACATTTGTCAGATCAGAAAGGCCTCGCCAACCCAGATTTTGATGCTAGATGCGCAAATGATTCAGATAAACGAATTCATCGTCACAAATGTTAATCGATAGAGTGACGAGTGAGTGAGCCCACCTTGGCACTTGACCGCCTGCTTCTTGCCACACTTTCTGGCGACTTGCTGCACCTTTTTCAGATCGACGGAGAACTTGAACTTCGATTTGGCAGCGTTGCACAGGCAGGTGGTGGATTCCTTGCGCATGAGTGCGCAGCAGAGCGAGTGGTACTTCGGGTACGGTGCCCAGCTGCCGTAGTAGTAAGTCTTCTTCACGAATAGGCCACACGCTGCGCCGAAGTGAGCTGCTGGCTGGCATTTCTTGGCCCGGTACACAGGTTTCTTGGGCTGTTGATAAGCGTACCCAGACACGACGCTGACGAGTGCCATCGCCGTCAGGCACAAGGCCAGGAAGTGCACCTTCCTGGATCCCATGCTTGCCACTCCCACGATCGAAGCCCAATGCAGCCCCTCAACTTCCACAGTCCAGTCTTCGTCTTCGTCTATGTCCTCGTCCTCGATCGGTGGATGTTTCTGCAATACTTGAGTTGCTTCCCCTCGAGTGCCGAGCCCCATAAGTACTCAACAGCGGCTCGGCAACTCGGGGGAGCTCGAAGCATGCTAGTAGTTCCTCTCGTGCAAGCTCCTGAGGGCGTCGCTAATCCTGAGTAAAGGACAAGTTCAATTGTCAGCAAGCATCGTATCAGCCAGTGGACTTTGTGCAATGTCAACCCATTAGCTTGGACTGTAGTGTCTGCCACATAATCAGAATTCAGGTCTGCTCTCTCGAGCTCCTAAAATGACCCAGTTCAAACCGTGGGATAACCTCAGACTCGACCAGTTTTCCGGATTGTGTTCAGGAGACTTGGCACTGAGAATTCTAAGATTGGGTTCACCTTCTAAATCAGCTTCTGGGCACGAGGCTATGGACGATCGCTGCAGCGTCTGCTGCGGGAAACGTACTCGCCGCAGAAGACTGCAGAGGAGTCGTATATCGACAAATGATCTAATTTGAGCTGTGTTTATATACAACGATTAGTCATGATTGCTCATGGACTGTGAGTCCATTTAAGTCACCAGACTCTGAGTTAGGTGAGTTCTACATTGGCCCGGGCCACGGCTTGCCCCGATTTGTTCGACGCGACAGTTGATGTCCTCCGTCTTTCTCTGGATCCGGACAATGTGCCATCTGACATCAGCACTGGCCATCGTTCTCCTCTACGCTTGCGATCAGAAATTTGCGGCCCTTTCTCGTCCTTGTGCTGACCCTTTGCATGTGCACTCTGCAACGAACCTCTGTGACAGTACTCGAATCATGCTGTACCGGTTTCTTCACATTCTGTAAGTAGAATTTCGGTCGTTGTGATGGTGAAGAAGCTCCCTATGGTCGATGTGAGCATTGATTGCTCGCGAACGACCGAGACCTCAAGCCACATTCTCCTTCCCGACTGATTTGCCATTGGCCTATGCCCAAACACTTGAATATCCTTTACTGTAGAGCGTCATGCATTACAACAATCAAATATATCTTTGCACATCCGTGTATTGTATTGTTGAATGAAAAATCATAAACTTTGCAAGATTCTATTAAAAAAATTCTTGTGGTCATAAGTGTTTTGTAAGAAATGAAAATTCAATGATACTCATGGATATTTTAAAAAGTAATTGTGTTTTTATTTCATGGTAGGGTGTGTAAGAACAATATGAGTAATAAATAAAAATTGAAATAAAATCAAAAGTAATTTTTGTTAAAATTAATTTTGGTTTAGGAGTAAATTCAGGTTCTAACTATTTATAGCTATGTGTGTCGCTGATTTTGGATATAAAAAAGATCATTGAAGACAAAGCTTCGATGAGTAGCTGAAGTATTGTGTATTCACTTGTCAGTAAATCTGTTCGTATGTTTCAATCACAGACGTAGCCCTTGAGGTTGAACCACGTTATATGAGTGTACCGTGTGATCACTACTTGGTTTTAAGTTTTATGTTAAGAAATGGTATCAGAGCTTTGTTTCGATTTGGAATGCGTGTTGTAAGGTTGTGTCACTAGAGTCAAGATAGATTGACGGATTTTTTGTCTCAAACAGTTTTCTGTCAACGACGGTTTTTCTATTAGGCAAGTTCAGGGTTTGTAGTTAAGTTGAAGATTTAAGTTTTTTCTGAAAGATTTTTGTTAGCGATGGTTTTCTGACAAAAGTGACAAAGTTTGTAACATAAATCACTGTTTTTGGCAGCTATTTTGTTTCAAACGATTGTGCCTTTATTCTCAGTTCATGACAGAAGTTTGACAGTTTTGCTTACAAACTGATAGTTTCTTCAGTTTTTCTTTCACTTCGTGGCAAATCGAGCTGTTTTGTCGAGCTGCAGCACTGTTCTTTGAAGTTCTGCAGAAGTTCAAATTTTGGAAGTAGTTCGAGGTTCGGAGTTCGGGATTGTAGAAGTTCGGGAGATTTTTGAGTTCGAGAAGATCGAGGTTCGAAGGTCCGGATTGCACAAGTTGGGAGAAGTTCGAGATCGAGAGGTTCGAAGTTCGAAGTTTGAAAACCGGATTCGAGTAGATCAAGGTTCAAAATACAGGACCACAAAGTTCAGGAGAAGTTCGAGGTCAAGAAGTTCGAGAGATCGAGGTTCGAAGGTACGCACTGCAGAAGTTCGACGCTGTTCTCTTTCGAAGCGCGTTCACAGACCCTCTCGGGAGGGAGAAGCACCGCGCGATTAAGGATCCCTTATGAAGGCGACGAGCAGCCGCCACCCCTATAATTAGGGTTTCATCAGATAGTGTAGCGAGGAGCGGCCACCACCTCCGCGCAGCGTCTCACTTCGCGGGTGAAGCCCACCGCCGCAGGCAACTCCCTACGCGGTCGCAGCCAGGCCGAGCGGCGCGGGCAACGCCCTGCGCAGTCACATCCAGGCCGAGCGGCGCCGGCAACTCCCTACTCGTATCGCGGCCCACTTCGCGGGTAGGAGCCAAGCGGCGCAGCGAGAAGCGACCGCCACCTCCGCGCAGCGGCTCATTTCGCGGGTAGGAGCCCAGCGCCATGGGCAATGTCCTGCGCGGTCGCAGCCAGGCCGAGCGGCGCGGGCAACTCCTTGCGCAAGGACACGTTACAGGAGGGACTTGAACCCACGACCTCTAGCTTGTGAGCGCGAAGCTCTAACCAACAAAGCTACTGCTATGGACATACTTAAGAGACTTTCTAACCTGTAAGAGTCGCGAGGCAGAAGACTGTGTAGAGTCTCTAACGTAGTTGTAGTTGGACGTGGTCAACATCCAGTTGAACGTGGTAGACGGCCGCACGGTTGGGGTTCTGCACATTCGTAGTTGGACGTGGTCAGGATGAGTACAACGTGGTTTGAGCGTGGTCACGGGCGACGGTGGTCCACGCGACGACAGTCGCGGGTGACGGATCTTTTCAGTCGCGGGTGACAGACGTAAAGTGCATCTTGACCATTTTGAGCAGCTGAAAATGCACCCGTATGACGAAATTGACGTGGCAACAGACGAGATCTCTAGTTTTCGTCGAACTAAGATGGCCTTGAAACAAGTTACAGGGTACAACATTCTTCCTCTTGATGGCCGATCCAATTACTTGCTTTGGGAAAAGCAGGTGAAAGGCAAGTTGAGATCAATGGGTCTCGCAAATGTGCTTAAAGACAAACCAATGCACATTATCGACATTGATTGGAAGGATTCACAAGAGCAAGCAGTCTACATTGTGATGGATTATCTAGATACTTTGGTTATGAAGCAAGTTGAGGAGTATCATGAGGTTACATAGCTTTTTGATGCCCTATAGAGACAGTTTCATCAGAAGGAAATCTTCCATGTGATGAACACCTACATGAGGCTATTGAATTTCAGGATGAGGTTGGGATTGAGAATTCAGGATCACATTCACGCCTACGGAGATTTGTTGGTAGATCTTCAAAATATGGGAAAGGAGCTTTCTGACATTAAAAAAAGCTATGCATCTACTTCACTCATTGCCTCCCTCCTACCAGACACTATCAAAGATTCTACTTCATCGTGATAACAAGGCTGTAACTTACAATGAGGTTGTAAGTGCTCTCCTGGTAGACGCGGTGGAACAGGAGATGTTGTCATTCTCTCGCCCATTCACTTCAAGTACTGCACTTACTGTGATCCGGAGTCAATCGCAACCATCGGATCAGAACAATCTACAGCATACAGGGTTCAAGCGGCAGAGATCCAGATCCCCTGAGCGCAGGAGAGTTCAGTTTCAGGTTCCATCCCTAAACAAGACGAACTTGAAGAACTTGGTGTGTTGGAGATGTGGTAAGAATGGCCATATCAAGAAGTACTGTTAGATGCCAATAAGAGATGCGAATCTTCCTCAAGTGGAGAATATTGCGGAGCATCTTCACTCCGAAGAGGAAGACATGTTTACCGACGGTCTATGATGTCAGAGGTATACCCTTTGTAGTTCACCAACAGTTGTTGGTGATGTATGGATTTTGGATAGTGCTTGTTCTTATCACATTTGCTACATGAGAGAGTTCTTCTATATTTTCTCAGGATCAAAGGGGTCTGTTCTTAAGGGAAATGACTAACCTTGTAAGATTGAGGGTGTTGGATCTGTAAAAATCCGCATGTTTGATGGTGTCAACCGAACACTTACACACGTTAGGTTTATATCTAATATGAGAAAGAACTTGATCTCTCTTGTAGTGTTAGACTCACACGGCTTGGAGTGGAGCTCTAGGCATGGAGTGTTAGATGTCAAATCTAGTGATAAGAAGGTTATACTTAAGGGACATAAGCACAATAATCTGCAGTTATTAGAGGGCACCACAATTTGTGGAGAAGTCAACTTTACCAGATCTCGAAGAGAGATGTCTCATTTATGGCATTCTAGACTAGCCCATATGAGTGATAGGTACTTGTCTCTTCTTGATGACAAAAAAGTGTTACCGGGTTTGGGTACACTTGACTTTGCATTTTGTGAACACTGCATCATGGGAAAACAACATAGGCGAGCTTTTAGTGTTGGAACTCATAATTCCAAGGAGATACTAGAGTATGTACATAGTGACGTGTGGGGTTCATCTCCTACTGCCTCACTCTCAGGAAAGCTCTACTATGTATCTTTTATATATGATTACTCTAGGTATGTGTGGGTATATTTTTTTACCCACAAGTTTGAGGTCTTTTCAACCTTCAAAACTTGGCGCATTCAAGTTGAGAATCAGACTAGCAATAGAGTAAAATATTTATGATCAGATAATGGCGACGAATATACTTCTAAGGAGTTTCAGAGGTATTGTACAGAGGAGGGGATTACTCATCACTTCGCGACAGTTTACACTCCCCAACAAAATGCTATTTCTAAGAGACTCAACAGAATAGTGTTGGAGAAGGTGCGGAGTATGCTAAGTGAATCTGGTTTACTAGGAGAGTTTTGGGCCGAAGTCGTCAACATCGCAGTTTATCTGCTAAACCTCTCTCCTTCTAGTGCAATCCAATTTTCCACACCGTTTGAACTCAGGCATAAACGGATGGCGGATTACAACCGCTTGAAGGTTTTTGGCTGTACTGTTCATCCCTTACACCAAAGGAGCACAGAATTAAATAAGACCCTAGGTTCAAGAAATATCATTTTCTTGGATATGCTAGTGGAGTGAAAGATTACATGCTATAGGATCCACTAGTACGTAAGGTGATTGTCAGTCGAGATGTTTCTTTCAATGAGCTTGGCTTATTGAAAGAGTTGGAGAATTCTAAGACTCCTCATACTTATAAGGAAAACTCTCCAGTCACGGATATCGCTGTGGGAGAGTTTCATCATTATATCACTAATGATCTGTCACAAGAAGAAGCACCGGTTCATCAAGAACAAGAGCAACATGAGCGAATTATCATTGATGAGCCTATTGCAATAGTTTCAGACAATATAGATCAACCAGAAACGTCTACTAGGAGACCGCATCGTGTTAGTAGGGCTCCTGAAAGATTTGGTGTGTGAGCAAATTCATCCATTCTAGAAGATTGTGACTTTCACATCGAAGATAGGGATGAAATAGCGTTGATTTTGGAAGAAGGTGAAACTTTTTCATTCAGGAAAGCTCAAGCTTTGATCAACAAGCTAGAGTGGATTGCTACTATGGAGCGGAAGATGGTATCCTTGATTGACAATAAGACTTGGGAGTTGGTTGAGCCTCCTATCGATCAAATGTTGATTAACTCCAAGTGGGTGTACAAGCTGAAAGACAATCCAGGACGAGACGAGGCAAGAATCTTCAAAGCCAGGTTGGTGGCTAGAGGTTTTATCAAAGAGAAGGGCGTGGACTACAACGAAGTTTTCTCACTAGTAGCTAAGTATGCTACAATTCGTCTGGTATGTGCACTAGTTGTGATATTTGATCTTCTTATGGATCAGATGGATGTGGTTACAACTTTTCTCTATGGATATTTAGAGGAGGAGATCTATATGAGACAACCTGTTGATTTTGAGGTCAAAGGCAAAGAGAGGTTGGTTTGTAGATTATTGAAATCATTGTATGGATTGAAGCAAGCTACTAGGTAGTGGAACACGCGATTTGATTAGTTCATGAAGGCACAAGGATTTTTACGGAGCGTGTATGATCCTTGTGTCTACATGAAGAAGTTAAATGATGAGACCTTCAATCTTATCATTTTAGTACTCTACGTTGATGATATGCTCATATTGGCAAAAAACCAATTCGATGTTGACGAATGCAAGAGTAAGTTGAAGTCTGCATTTAAGATGAAGGATATTGGGGAGTCGAAGAGAATATTAGGCATGAAGATACATAGAGATCATGAGTAGAAGAGACTATGATTGAGTCAGGGCAAGTATGTTCATCATATACTTGACAGGTTCAACATGATGGATTTCAAATGAGTATGGACTCTTTTGGCAGCACATTTCAAACTCTCTACAGCTCAATGTCCTACCGATGCGGTGAAGAAAGGAAATATGTTATGTGTTTCCTATGAACAAGTTGTAGGCAACTTCATGTATTTGATGGTGTGCACTAGGCCGGACATTGCTTTTGTGATGGGTAAGGTGAGCAGGTACATGTCAAATCCAGGGAAAGTTCACTTGGAAGCAATGAAATGGATTTTGAGATATTTGAAGAGTACTTTGGATTATGGCTTATTGTTTGATGGTCTTTTAGACAATGCCAAATCGTTATTTTTTTACGTTGATGATGACTACGGACATGATCTAGATAAAAGGAGATCTACAACTGGGTATGTGTTTACACTTGGCGGTGGAAGCATTAGTTGGAGGTCTACCTTGTAGAAATGCGTAGCCCAATCAACAATGGAAGCAGAATATGTGGCAGCAGCAGAAGCGGCAAAGTAAACTATTTGGTTGGATAGGCTTATCATGGAAATGGGATTGAAGCAAGGCGTGGTTAATCTTCATTGTGATAGCCAGAGCGCTTTACATTTGGCCGTGAACCAGGTCATGGATAGCAGAGTGAAGCACATTGACATCATGTATCATTTGATCAGACAAGCAGTGTCTGATAAAACAATTGAGCTAGTCAAGATCGACGGTAAACTCAATCTAGTTGATGCTTTGACCAAAGTTATTCCATTGGAAAGTTTCACGCAACACTGTGCTACCATGCAAGTTGTGCATGGAGAGCACATGTAAAATTTACTAGCATAGTAACTCTATTTACCTCTTTATGTTATTACTTTATCATGTTATGGCTACAATCTAATTCTAGTTAACTCTCGTGTAAAGAGTGGCCTTGTGTTAGGTTTTCTGTCTAGAACTTCCTGTTGAGTAATAATATAGGTTTCAGAGATTACTGTCTTCTTAACACAAGTTAAGGGGGAGATTGTTGAGGTTAACTTCGGTTAAGGAGTAACCTCAAGTTCTAGCTATTTATAGCTATATGTGTCGCTGGCTTTGGGTATAAATATACCCCCAAAGCCAAGTCTTCGATAAGGAGCTGAAGTATTGTGTATTCACTTGTCAGTAAATCTGTTCGTGTGTTTCAGCCGTGGACGTAGCCCTTGAGGATGAATCACGTTATATGAGTGTATCGTGTGATTCGTACTTGGTTTTAGGTTTTACGTTAAGAATTTTGTTGTTTTCGAATATTCATAATGAATATCAATAAGTTAAAATTAACACTTATCAATAACACACATATCAATAACATTTGAACTGAAGTTGGAACTATTTGTATCGATATAACTCATTGCATGAACTTGATTTGTTACATGTAACATGAACTTAGATTGTCTATGGTCAATTTCTTACTAAAAGAAAATTTCTCATTGTAAATCTTTGTTTGTAATTTATTAATTAAAAAAACCAAGATTCAACAACAACAAAGTTTGATGCTCTGACGTTGTCATTAGATGAACCCCATTGGTAAAATGTTCTACAATTTATATATATCTTCTTATGAAAAAATATATTATTTTGGTGTATCCCAATTGGGAAAAACATCTATTATGATTAAAAAGAAAATGTATTTTAAAAAAATATCAGGAAAATGTCTGAGTTGAAATAAAATTTTAAAATTGAATGCCCAGTTTTTGAAGATTCATGAATTAAATAATAGCTATAAATTAATATTGTGAGATCTTAGATAATGAGTATTTGATCGTATCATCTTACTCTCCGTATTTATAAGGAATAAGATAATTTTACATAATAAGGAAATAAATAATCTTGAGTTGATTATGGATGGAATTTTGAATAGGGAACCTTCATTAATCCACAAAGAATCTAATGCATGGTTGTGTGTAGCTTTTCTTTAATTTTTATGAGCATATTGTGCATACGATAGAAGAAATAAATTTATGATATCTTTAGTCTCGTACTTTATGCATTCACTTTCCTAGAATTAAAGAAAGAGCTCGAGAGAGCAGACCTGAATCCTGATTATGTGGTAGACACTACAGTCCAAGCTAATGGGTTGACATCGCACAAAGTCCACTGGCTGACACGATGCTTGCTGACAATTGAACTTGTCCTTTACTCAGGATTAGCGACGCCCTCAGGAGCTTGCACGAGAGGAACTAGTAGCATGCTTCGAGCTACCTCGAGTTGCCAAGCTGCGGTTGAGTACTTATGGGGCTCGGCACTCGAGAGAAAGCAACTCAAGTATTGCAGAAACATCCACCGATCGAGGACGAGGACATAGACGAAGACTGGACTGTGGAAGTTGAGGGGCTGCATTGGGCTTCGATCGTGAGAGTGGCAAGCATGGGATCCAGGAAGGTGCACTTCCTGGCCTTGTGCCTGACGGCGATGGCGCTCGTCAGCGTCGTGTCTGGGTACGCTTATCAACAGCCCAAGAAACCTGTGTACCGGGCCAAGAAATGCCAGCCAGCAGGTCACTTCGGCGCAGCGTGTGGCCTGTTCGTGAAGAAGACTTACTACTACGGCAGCTGGGCACCGTACCCGAAGTACCACTCGCTCTGCTGCGCACTCATGCGCAAGGAATCCACCACCTGCCTGTGCAACGCTGCCAAATCGAAGTTCAAGTTCTCCGTCGATCTGAAAAAGGTGCAGCAAGTCGCCAGAAAGTGTGGCAAGAAGCAGGCGGTCAAGTGCCAAGGTGGGCTCACTCACTCGTCACTCTATCGATTAACATTTGTGACGATGAATTCGTTTATCTGAATCATTTGCGCATCTAGCATCAAAATCTGGGTTGGCGAGGCCTTTCTGATCTGACAAATGTGCTTTGACGACTGCAGCTCGTAAACCGTATTACTACAAATCTCCGCCTCCTCCCAAGTACTACTACAAGTCGCCTCCTCCTCCCAAGTACATGTACAAGTCCCCACCCCCACCAGCGTACAAGTATAAGTCTCCTCCCCCACCAGCGTACAAGTACAGTTCTCCTCCACCTCCAGCGTACAAGTACAGTTCTCCTCCACCACCGGCGTACAAGTACAGTTCTCCTCCACCACCGGCGTACAAGTACAGTTCTCCCCCACCACCGGCGTACAAGTACAGTTCTCCACCACCACCGGCGTACAAATACAGTTCTCCCCCACCACCGGCGTACAAGTACAGTTCTCCCCCACCACCGGCTTACAAGTACAGCTCCCCTCCTCCACCCCCATACGTATACAACTCCCCTCCACCGCCTCCTTACGTATACAACTCACCTCCACCTCCAGCATACGTATACAGCTCCCCTCCACCGCCCGCGTACGAGAATACCTCTCCTCCTTCGGAAGGGTACTAGGAGGAGTTCCGGTTTCAGAAACCGGCTGCGCTTTGAAACAGTCGGAACCGAGCTCTCTTGCCCGGATGATGATGGGGACTATTATATGAATCTTCAGTTCGTAGACATGTCCTTTCGAATTAGTTACGTCGCATTGATTCATTATTTCAACGATTTTAGATATATTAGATTAGAATCCATATTAGATTCACCGATATTTTTTTAAATGAATTTTATTTTTAATCATAATAATTGTATTTCACAATTGGGATCCATCAGAAATATTTTTTATACATGTGATGACATATATAAATTGTAGAACATTTTACCAATGGGGTTCATCTAATGATAACATCAGAGCATCAAACTTTGTTGTTGTTGAATCTTGATTTTTTAATTATTAAATTATATTAAAACAAAGATTTACAATGAGAAATTCTCTTTTAGTAAAAAAATGACCATACATGCAACAAATCAAGTTCATGCAATGAAGTATATCGATAAAAAATAGTTCCAACTTCAGTTCAAGTACTATAATTTTAACTTACTGATATTAATTATGAATATTTGAAAAAAAACGAAATTAATTTTTGATTTTACTTCAGTCTATAGTTACTCCTCATATTGTTTCTAACCACCCAACAATGAAATAGAAACACAGTTAATTTTTTAAAATTTTCATGAACGAGTATGAAATCTTTGAGTTTTCATTTCTTACGGTAAAAATCTACAGAACACTTATGAACACAAGGATTTTTTTAATAGAATCTTGCAAAGTTTATGCTTTTTCATACAACAATTCAATGCACAGATGTGCAAAGATATATTTGATTGTTGTAATGCATGAAACTCTACAGTAAAGGATATTTGAGTGGTTTGATTTGGGCATAGGCCAATGGCATATCAGTCGGGAAGGAGAATGTGGCTTGAGGTCTCGCTCGTCCACAACATGGTTCTCGCTGGCGGTGTGCGGCAACACAAGCTCACATCGACCATAGGGAGCTTCTTCAGCATCACGACAACCGAAATTCTACTCACAGAATGTGGAGAAACCATGTACAGCATGATTCGAGTACTGTCACAGAGCTTCCTTGCAGAGTGCACATGCAAAGGGTCAGCACTAGGACGAGAAAAGGGCCACAAATTTCTGAGCGCAAGCGTAGAGGAGAACGATGTCCAGTGCCGATGTCAGACGGCACATTGTTCGGATCCAGAGAAAGACGGAGGACATCAACTGTCGCGTCGAACAAATCGGGGCCAATGTAGAACTCACCTAACTCAGAGTCTGGTGACTTAAATGGACTCACAGTCCATGGGCAATCATGACTAATCGTTGTATATAAACACAGCTCAAATTTAGATCATTTGTCGATATAGGACTCTTCTTCAATTTTTTGCGGCGAGTACGTTTCCCGCAGTAGACGCTGCAGCGATCGTCCATAGCCTCGTGCTCAGAAGCTGATTTATAAGGTCAACCCAATCTTAGAATTCTTTATGCATACACTTGATAGCTTGAATAACTTGAAAATTTTTTCCACATCGCACCAAAACATTCCACCGATAAATTGCACAGGATCGTAACGTATTATGCATTTAATCTGCATGAAAGTTTTGTAACCAACATACATGTAATAAGGTATAATCTTCAATAATCGTAGATAAATTTTTGTTAAAAAAAAAAAAAAAACTTTATGTACTAACACGACGAAAGATTCATTGTTATATTCCTCGCGGGATTAATCAATTTTCAAATCATGTACAGACTTATAAATCATTGCGTATCTATCACAATAGAGTGGATCCAATCATAGTCACACTGGCCCAAGGTCATTACGATCTGAACTATCCGAGAATGTATTTAGAAGTTATGAGAACGACTAGTGCTCAACTGACAAGACTCGATAAACCAGTAACAAAGATAACAACGCCACGTGCGACAGTGGTTCATAACCATCTTTTCTAACTACGATTTTTTCAACTGTCCGCGGAATATTATGAGTATAAATTATTATCTGACTTTTCCATCCTCTATTTCAAATGTTCCATCTATCTTCCATCTAAGGTAGACGGCATTTTACTGGTTGACTAAATGCATAAGAGTTTAAATGGAATGATCAATACATACATTTTTACCAACGTAATATATTATTGGGGTATAATGACTGTAGATTTTAACAGTGAATACTTGCTTTACTATATTCATTTTTCCCTATAAGGCTGTTATTTATGTTCAGTTTAAGCAAGGTGACCAGTGTTAGAAATTTCTATATTGTCAATTAGTTTTACATAATCTCCCGCTTCGTTCATCTGTTCATCTATAGAATATATCAGAAATTCTAGCGAAACTTGTTACATTTTTCAATGTCTGATCAACATTGTCATTCTGGTTAATATTAGATAATGGAAACTTTATTCCACAGAGAGAACTTTGAATGCATTGAAGTTGAATGATCATAGGTTTCAATAGACTGTACAATCTTCAAACATCTCATAGAACAGCAGACCTGCCATCATTTTTTCACTGCGCGGCTGTAACAAGAATGTTGCAATCTCATCATTTTCCATTCCGCCATGGGCCACATACCGTCCCCATGAAAGCACGATACATCCATCACACCACAGTCATGTACATCGAAGCCCAAAGGGATATCTGTGGAAAAATGTTGCATACTCATTTTATGTAGAAATGACAAGTCTGAAAACTGCAATTCTCACTACGAGCAGGATCAAGCCACTCCGTGAGTGAATCCTCTCTTTCCGAATGACTGAGCGTCACTGTCAGTCACAACCTCGGATTCACCTACGTTTCAAAACGAGAAAACTCGTGTCGATGCTTGGCAGCATGATGAGAAGTCTGTGCAATGACTGTGATGTCAGTTGCAGGTGACAGTCGAACTCTCTGATCGCTCGTCTTCGTTGTTGCTACTTCCTCTTTCCAGCTGCATGTCTAGTAACCAGCGGGTTGCTCGATGGAGGAGGGAGCAACCGCCGGAGATTTGGCAGGAGGAGGTGGAGAGGCGTACACGTACACAGGTGGTGGAGGAGACTCGTACTAATACGGGGGAGGAGGAGGAGACTCGTACTTGTAAGGAGGTGGTGGAGGAGACTCATATTTATACGGAGGAGGAGGAGGAGACTCGTACTTGTAAGGAGGTGGTGGAGGAGACTCGTACTTATAGGGAGGAGGAGGAGGAGACGAGTACTTGTAAGGAGGTGGTGGAGGAGACTCATATTTATACGGGGGAGGGGGAGGAGACGCATACTTGTAAGGAGGGGGTGGTGGTGATTCGTATTTGTACACTGGAGGTGGGGGAGAAGAATACTTGTACGCGGGAGGTGGTGGTGATTCGTATTTGTACACTGGAGGTGGGGGAGAAGAATACTTGTAGGCGGGAGGAGGTGGTGATTCGTATTTGTACACTGGAGGTGGGGGAGAAGAATACTTGTACGCGGGAGGTGGTGGTGATTCGTATTTGTACACTGGAGGGGGTGGAGAAGAATACTTATACGCGGGTGGTGACTTGTACTTGTATGCCGGAGGTGGTGGTGATGCGTATTTGTACACTGGAGGAGGTGGGGAAGAGTACTTGTACGCCGGAGGTGGTGGGGACATGTACTTGTACGCTGGAGGTGGTGGAGACTTGTACTTGTACGCCGGTGGAGGTGGAGACTTGTACTTGTACGCCGGTGGTGGTGGAGACTTGTACTTGTACGCTGGTGGTGGTGGAGACTTGTACTTGTACGCTGGAGGAGGTGGAGATTTATACTTGTACACTGGGGCGCGAGGCTTGGACTTGGGCTTAAACACTGAACACGAGGCGAAAGCGAGAAGTAGACACAGAACCACGAAAAAACTCAAAATTCCATCTAGTGACAGCCTCTGATCAAAAACAATGCAATCAGCGTCTCCAGTTCAGGCACAAACAAATTTCGCATATCTGAATCCAGAGCGAGCATTCATCCAGAGTGTGCGTGCAGAAGGCAACAGCTGATCAGGATCCACAGCTGCACAGGACTGAGAAATCATGGGCGAGATGGAGGAGCATGGCACACACCTTTGCACTTGGCGTCGTACTTTTTGCCCTTTTGAGCCTTCTTGCCACACTTCTTCGGCAAAGACAATGCCTTGGCCATGTCGACCTTGAAGTGCTTGTACTTGGAGTTGGCTGCCGCGCACAGGCAATCATGCGACTCCTTCCTGACCAGCTTGCAGCAGGGAGACCAGTACTTCGGGGTCGGCGTCCACGACCATTTGCCGTAAAGCCATGACGACTTCTTCACGAACGCAGCGCACGATGTGAACTGCCTGATGGGAGCACACTTGGGTGCTTGGTACTTCTTCACGGGCTTTTTGTACTTGGGCACATCCCATGTTGCCGAAGCCAACACCACCGATGCCAGTAGGCACAGAACCAACAGATGCCCTCTCTTCAACTCCATCGCTGATCTCCGACCAATCCACGCGCATGCACTTGGGATCCGCTGGAGTCCACTCCACTCTCGAGGCTGTAGCTCTCTCTAGATCGGGCCAGGCATTCTGCTGCAGCTTCCTGCAGCCCCGAGGTGGAAAGGACTGTGGCTATGATCGAGAAGAACTCAAGCCTTTATACTCTTTGACTGCTTGGATCTAGATCGGGGTTGACGTGCTCGAATCGCATAGCAACGACATCAACTGGTCGCTACAAATGCGCATCTGGTCTCAGCTATGATAATGAGGTCAACAGACCGATTTGGATGCAGCTTCGAATTCTGCAAATTGTCTCATTCATAGATCGGAATCATTCCGATCTCGAAACCCAATGCAGCCCCTCAACTTCCACAGTTTAGTCTTCGTCTTCGTCTATGTCCTCGTCCGCGATCGGTGGATGTTTCTGCAATACTTGAGTTGCTTTCTCTCGAGTGCCGAGCCCCATAAGTACTCAACAGCAGCTCGGCAACTCGAGGGAGCTCGAAGCATGCTACTAGTTCCTCTCGTGCAAGCTCCTGAGGGCGTCGCTAATCCTGAGTAAAGGACAAGTTCAATTGTCAGCAAGCATCGTATCAGCCAGTGGACTTTGTGCAATGTCAACCCAGTAGCTTGGACTGTAGTGTCTGCCACATAAACAGAATTCGGGTCTGCTCTCGCGAGCTCCTAAAACGACCCAGTTCAAACCGTGGGAAAATCTCGGACTCGACCAGTTTTCCGGATTGTATTCAGGAAACTTGGCATTGAGAATTCTAAGATTGGGATGACGTTCTAAATCAGCTTCTGGGCATGAGGCTATGGACGATCGCTGCAGCGTCTGCTGCGGGAAACGTACTCGCCGCACAAGACTGAAGAGGAGTCGTATATCGACAAATGATCTAAATTTGAGCTGTGTTTATATACAGCGATTAGTCATGATTGCCCATGGACTGTGAGTCCATTTAAGTCACCAGACTCTGAGTTAGGTGAGTTCTACATTGGCCCCGATTTGTTCGACGCGACAGTTGATGTCCTCCGTCTTTCTCTGGATCCGGACAATGTGCCGTCTGACATCAGCACTGGACATCGTTCTCCTCTACGCTTGCGATCAGAAATTTGTGGCCCTTTTCTCGTCCTAGTGCTGACCTTTGCATGTGCACTCTGCAAGGAAGCTCTGTGACAGTATTCGAATCATCCTGTACCGGTTTCTGCACATTCTGTGAGTAGTAATTCGGTCGTCGTGATGGTGAAGAAGCTCCCTATGGTCCATGTGAGCGAGAACCATGTTGTGGACGACCGAGACCTGAAGCCACATTCTCCTTCCCGACTGATTTGCCATTGGCCTATGCCCAAATCAAACCACTCAAATGTCCTTTACTGTAGAGTTTTATGCATTGCAACAATCAAATATATCTTTGCACATCTGCGCATTGTATCGTTGAATGAAAAAGCATAAACTTTGCAAGATTCTATTAAAAAAATTCTTGTGTTGATTGATACCGTAAGAAATGAAAATTCAAGGATTTGATACTCGTTCATGGATATTATAAAAAAAAAACTGTGTTTCTATTTCATGGTTGGGTAGTTAGAAACAATATGAGCAACAAATAAAATCAGAAATAATCTCGTTGTTTTCAAATATTTATAATTAATATCAATAAGTTAAAAATATAACACTTTAACTGAAGTTCGAACTTTTTTTTAAAATTGATATACAGTATACACTCGCTCTCGAAGAATACCACTTGGATATCATTCCCCTCAAAGGCAATGCTACTCAGTGATCAGGAGCATTATCAAGGATCAAGAGATCTTGTGACCAATACGTTTGCAAAAATATGGCTCAAAAACCTCATCGAACCTCTTGTTGAACTTCGGCTCGTCAATCCATGCATTCTTTTGCTTAAGATACAGAATTGGCTAGATGTTGCCTGAACTACATGTAGGTTTCTTCGCCTTACCAATCATGGTGATTGGGACTCGTTCAATCCTTGTGGCATTGCAACACCCCCACAAGAGTCTCGCGGTCTTTTGCTTTTTTTCTTGGTTCAGACTGTTGACGTATCCTCATTTGGCATCAAGATGGTGTAACTTGAAACAAGTCGAAAGAACAATCCACTTTTGTCCATATCGTACAAGCAAGCTGGATCATACAAGTTGATAATTGCACATAACTCATCCAAAGCTCGCAGAGTTTCAGGATTATATTTGTCAATCTCATTGCCTTCACCAAATAAGTTTGTGACGCTTGAACCAAATCGATGACAGAATCTCAAAAATCATCCCCCGGAATCCTTGAACTTATCACACCTATCTCTGTAATAACCCACTAAAGGCTAAAACTGCAATATAGTGGTAGAAAGGTCGAACCCACAGGGACAGAGGAACACACAGGGTACAAAGTGTCACATTTAACAGACTATTGAGGAGTTTGAATTCTCAGGCGACTGTCACTCCCAGAAATACTACAAGGGTTACCCTGAAGGCACCTGCTGCAGCGTAACCTGAATTTACAACCAAGGCTTACACGAAGTAGCAAAACTTCACTTTGGCATTCAGGGGAAAAATCCCGAAGGAGTACAATCAGGAACAAACACTCGAAGGTGTAGGGGCCAAACTATTCAAGTATCTAACTAGTCACTGGCTCTTAGCATCGGCAATCACCCGTAGGTGTAGATCCGAACTACTCAAGTCTCTAACCAATGTACTAGCTCTGAACATTCGACCGAAGGGCTTCAGTTACAAAATGCGGAACGCCAAGTTGTAGCTCCTCTTGCGTGGTGACAGAACTAAGGACACAAACACGCAGAGAAAATGAGTTCCTGATCTGCACTTCCGAAACTGGGAAAAATCCCAAGGCAAGACGCCTTGAACTACTTTATACCTTCTAAGTCCTAACTAACACTATACTGCACTATGCCATGGTGCGAGCCGCAACATATCCTACACCTGAGGAGTCGGCTGCTGCATTCCCCTCCAACTTACAACCTAAATCTAACCCTAACCCTAAATCAAAATCCTAAGCCTACTGTACAGAGCCGCCAGTGCCTTTCCATCCAAGATCTGAGGCTGAAAATTTGCAGGTATGCGTGGCCGGCTGAGATCAACGGCCCCACAAAATTTCAGATCCATCCGACCGTCCATCGCAAAGATATGGGCCCCGCAAGATCTCTGAACCTAGGCCAAAATTCCTTCTCCAAAATCCGAAGTCCGGGGGACCCACATGCCGCTTGAATGCCGTTCCCGCGATTATGGGTAACGGCCTGCTCCTCACGTGCAACTTCACGCCCCGCCGTTCTGCGTGCCACACTTGACATAATCCCGCCATCGGGAATCTTCTGCCACGTGGCAAAAAGGCATCCTTCCGCCGAAGACATCCTTCCGCATCTTTGCCTATCTATAACAGTCACCCCCGACGCCAATAACTCACAGAGCCCTGCTTCATTTGAAACGTTCTTGGGCTCGTTGGAACAAGCGTGTTGGGTTCTTTCCAACGAGCCCCTAACTAAGTCAAACTGTTAAGAATTGAGAAAGTTATGACGGTTTTACTCTTCCGCCGAAGGCGTTTGCCTATGCACAGGCTTCCACTCGCAACTCGCCTATCCGCAACTCCTTGGGCCGAAGGCCTCTCTATTTGTTAACGCCGAAGGCCTCTCTCCTAACCATGACAGCCGCTTTCGACGCTCATAACTCAGTGACGCCTTATCCGTTTCAAGTGTTCTTGGTCTCGTTGGAACGAGCGTTGCGAGCTCTTTCCAACAAGACCCTAACTGAGTCAAGGCGTTACGAATTGAGAAAGTTAAAAGGTATTCACTCTTCCGCCGAATGCACTCTCCCGCATCGCCGAAAGCGTTGACCCGAAGACGTCTGTCGCCGAAGACGAACATCTAGGGCCGAAGGCGGATATTCCGCCGATGGCGAAGTGCCTACGCGTAGGCGAATTCCTTCCGCCGAAGGCGGATTTCCCGGCGGACTTCCCGCCGACCACGAACTCCTTCCGCCTATGCGTAGGCGCTCGTCTTCGCATCTTCCGACAGTCAAAACTCCCTGATTCTCATCCGTTCCAGGAGTTCTTGGGCTCGTTAGAACGAGCGTGTTGAGTTCTTTCCAACGAGACCCTAACCAAGTCAAGGCGTTGTGAATTGACAAAGTTATGAGGGATTCACTCTTCCGCCGAAGGCGGATATTTCGCCGATGGCAAAGTGCCTACGCGTAGGTGAATTCCTTCCGCCTATGCGTAGGCGGAATTCCCGGCGGGCTTCCCGCCGACCACGAACTACTTCCGCCTATGTGTAGGCGTTCGTCTTCGCATCTTCCGACAGTCACCACTCCCCGAGTCCTCATCCGTTCCAGGCGTTCTTGGGCTCGTTAGAACCAGCGCGTCGAGCTCTTTCCAACAAGAACTGAAGCAACTGAAGGCGTTACGAATTGAAAAAGTTATGAGTGATCTACCGCCGAAGGTGCTCAAAGCGGATCCTGCAGCATGAACCGTCCGTTCCGTCCCAAGCGTCCCACTGTGGCCTAAGCCCAAAACAACTTGACTGTCCTCGATCCTCTTTTTACTCTGGTTTCGCGTACCGATTACTATTTACAGCTGCTGCCGCGGTACTTACTATTCAAAAATGTTTTAGTTCCGACAAAAAACAAAAAGTGGGTTACCACAATCTCCATAGCCTCAGCAATTTATTTTGCTTTGTGGCAGATGAAACTGGGCGGCAAAACAAGCGACATTTGACGTCCAGCATCAATCCATTCGCACAATCATTTCTCAAGCTCATGAAACAATGATTGCGAAACGCAAAATGTAGATTCCTAAGTGGCATGGTTAACCCTTTGAGCTCGTTCGTGAATCTCATCTTTGCTTGCTTTCAATTTTTGTATAACCTTCTCGTCAACATCTCAGTGACGAGCAATGCTTCTATTAGTTGGCAGTTTTGATTGCTCCAATACAATGATAATTTCCATTCTTTGACAGTCATTCAGACGTTGGCCCTGGCCTTTGCGTTTCAACTCACGTCCGCTTATGATTACAAATGAACTCGAAATTGTATTTCTTGTGTATTAACTTTATTATTATATTGGGTGCCCCTAATATTACTTAGGTTCGCATCTCAGTTAATTCCGCATCATACTTCCCAGATCAAGTTGCGGACTTACAAGCGAGCGAGTGTATACTGTACCTCGTTGCATGAACTTGATTTGTTACATGTAATATCAACTTAGATTGTCTATGGTCAATTTCTTACTAAAAGAAAATTTCTCATTGTAAATCTTTGTTTGTACGTGATTTAATAATTAAAAAATTAAAATTCAACAACAACAAAGTTTGATACTCTGATGTTGTCACTAAATGAACCCCATTGGTAAAATGTTCTACATTTCATATATGTCTTTACATGTAAGAAAAAAATTTCCGATTTATTCCGATTATAAAAAACATCTGTTATGATTAAAAAAAAATTCATTTTTAAAAAAATATCAGGAAACGTCCGAGTATAAAATTATTTCAAATAATATAAATTTTACATAATAAGGAAATAAATAGTCTTGAGTTGATTATCGATAGATTTTGAATAGGTATCCCTTCATTAATCCACAAAGAATCTAATGCATGGTTGTGTGTAGCTTTTCTTTAATTTTTATGAGAATATTGGTCTATGATAGAAGAATCAAATTTTTGATATCTTTAGTCTCGTCATTTATGCATTCACTTTACTAGAATAAAACTATTATACACTTGATAACTTGAATAACTTGAAATTTTTTTCCACATCGCACCAGAACATTCCACCGATAAATTGCACAGGATGTTCACGAATTATGCATTTATTTTGCATGAAAGTTTTGTAACCCAACATACATGTAATTAGGTATAATCTTCCATAATCGTAAATGAATTTTGTAAAAAGAATCAAAAGAACTTTACATACTAATACGACGAAAGACTCATTGTTATATCCTCGCGGGATTAATCAATTTTCAAATCTTGTACAGACTGATAAATCATTGCGTATCTATCACAATAAAGTGGATCCAATCATCGTCACACTGGCCCAAGGTCATATCGATCTGAACTATCCGAGAATGTATGTAGAAGTTATGAGTGAGAGTAGTGCTTAATTTGACCCTACTGACAAGACTCGATAAACCAGTAACAAAAATAACGATGCCACATGCGACAGTGGTTCATACCCAGTTTTTCAAACGACGATTTCTTCATCTGTCCGCGGAAAATGATGAGTATACACTATTATCCGACTTTTCCTTCCTCTATTTCAAACGTTCCATCTATCTTTCATCTCAGGTAGACAGCATTTTACTGGTTGACTAATTGCAAAAGAGTTTAATTTGAATAATCAGAACATATTTTTTAAACCAACGTAATATATTATTGGTGGATAATGATTGTAGATTTGAACAGTGAATACTTGCTTTACTATATTATTTTTTCCCTAGAAGGTTGATAATTATGTTCAGTTTAAGCGAGGTGGCTAGTGTTAGAAATTCCTATATTGTCAGTTAGTTTTACCTTCCGCTGCGTTCACCAGTTCATTTTGTAGATATATCAGAATTTCTACGTAAACTTGTTAGATTTTTCAATGTCTGATCAACGTTCTCATTCTGGTTTACATTAGATACTGGAAACTTTATTCCACAGAAATTTAGAATGCATTGAAGATTGAAATCATAGGTTTCATTGGACTGTACAATCTTCAAACAACTCATAGAACAGCAGACCTGCCATCATTTTTTCACTGCACGGCTGTAACAAGAATGTTGCAATCTCATCATTTTCCATTCCGTCTTGGGCCACATACCGTCCCCATGAAAGCACGATACATCCATCACACCACAGTCATGTACATCGTAGCCCAAAATATCTGTAAAAAAATGTTGCATAATCGTTTTATGTAGAAATGACTGAAAACTGTCTGAGAACTGTCTGAAAGTCTGAAAACTGCGATTCTCACTCCGAGCAGGATCAAGCCACTCCGTGAGTGAATCCTCTCTTTCCGAATGACTGAGCGTCACTGTCAGTCACAACCTCGGATTCACCTACGTTTCAAAACGAGAAAACTCGTGTCGATGCTTGGCAGCATGATGAGAAGTCTGTGCAATGACTGTGATGTCAGTTGCAGGTGACAGTCGAACTCTCTGAGAAGCTCGTCTTCGTTGTTGCTACTTCCTCTTTCCAGCTGCATGTCTAGTAACCAGCGGGTTGCTCGATGGAGGAGGGAGCAACCGCCGGAGATTTGGCAGGAGGAGGTGGAGAGGCGTACACGTACACAGGTGGTGGAGGAGACTCGTATTTATACGGGGGAGGAGGAGGAGACTCGTACTTGTAAGGAGGTGGTGGAGGAGACTCATATTTATACGGAGGAGGAGGAGGAGACTCGTACTTGTAAGGAGGTGGTGGAGGAGACTCGTACTTATAGGGAGGAGGAGGAGGAGACGAGTACTTGTAAGGAGGTGGTGGAGGAGACTCATATTTATACGGGGGAGGGGGAGGAGACGCATACTTGTAAGGAGGGGGTGGTGGTGATTCGTATTTGTACACTGGAGGTGGGGGAGAAGAATACTTGTACGCGGGAGGTGGTGGTGATTCGTATTTGTACACTGGAGGGGGTGGAGAAGAATACTTGTACGCGGGTGGGGGTGGTGACTTGTACTTGTATGCAGGAGGTGGTGGTGATGCGTATTTGTATACTGGAGGAGGTGGGGAAGAGTACTTGTACGCCGGAGGTGGTGGAGATTTGTACTTGTACGCCGGTGGTGGTGGAGACTTGTACTTGTACGCCGGTGGTGGTGGAGACTTGTACTTGTACGCCGGTGGTGGTGGAGACTTGTACTTGTACGCTGGAGGTGGTGGAGACTTGTACTTGTACGCCGGAGGTGGTGGAGACTTGTACTTGTACGCAGGAGGTGGTGGAGACTTGTACTTGTACGCTGGAGGAGGTGGAGATTTATACTTGTACACTGGGGCGCGAGGCTTGGACTTGGGCTTAAACACTGAACACGAGGCGAAAGCGAAAATCAGACACAGAACCACGAGAAAACTCAAAATTCCATGCAGTGACAGCCTCTGATCCAAAACATACCATCAGCGTCTCCAGTTCAGGCTCAAACAAATTTCGCATATCTGAATCCAGAGCGAGCATTCATCCAGAGTGTGCGTGCAGAAGGCAACAGCTGATCAGGATCCACAGCTGCACAGGACAGAGATATCATGGGCGAGATGGAGGAGCATGGCACACACCTTTGCACTTGGCGTCATACTTTTTGCCCTTCTGGGCCTTCTTGCCACACTTCTTCGGCAAAGACAATGCCTTGGCCATGTCGACCTTGAAGTGCTTGTACTTGGAGTTGGCTGCCGCGCACAGGCAATCATGCGACTCCTTCCTGACCAGCTTGCAGCAGGGAGACCAGTACTTCGGGGTCGGCGTCCACGACCATTTGCCGTAAAGCCATGACGACTTCTTCACGAACGCAGCGCACGATGTGAACTGCCTGATGGGAGCACACTTGGGTGCTTGGTACTTCTTCACGGGCTTCTTGTATTTGGGTACATCCCATGTTGCCGAAGCCAACACCACCGATGCCAACAGGCACAGAACCAACAGATGCCCTCTCTTCAACTCCATCGCTGATCTCCGACCGATCCACACGCATGCACTCGGGAATCCGCTGGAGTCCACTCCACTCTCGAGGCTGTAGCTCTTTCTAGATCTGGACAGACATTCTACTGCAGCTTCCTGCAGCCCCGAGGTGGAAAGGACTGTGGCTGTGACCGAGAAGAACTCAAGGCTTTATACTCTTTGACTGCTTGGATCTAGATCGGAGTTGACGTGCTCGAATCGCATTGCAACGACATCAACTGGTCGCTACAAATGCGCATCTGGTCTCAGCTCTGATAATGAGGTCAACAGACCGATTTGGATGCAGCTTCGAATTCTGCACATTGTCTCATTCATAGATTGGAATCATTCCGATCTCGGCACTGCGATGCCAGTCTAGTCAACGCGCGTGCCTTTTACTCGGATATGGAGTTTAATGTCTACTGAATAGACATTATCCGTGCTCAGCTTTTCCAAACTTTATCCTTAGTAGAAGGAATCGAAGACATGCATGGGATACCTGATGAACAGGAAGTATAGTAAGAAATATAGGAAGACCCATGAAGCCTTACATGGATGAAACCAAAGGAGTAATCTGCGCTAGTAATAATGGGAAATACGTCCTACTGCATGGGTTATCTCCCAACTACAGTATCGCATAGAATAACTGCTTTTACTTGGAATGCACGCGCTAGTGTTCTCTATACGGAAGCATATGACGAACCAATAGGTTGCTATTACAGTTTATTTTCTGACGCTATGAATTTGGCTGCCAGCATGAGAAGACTTCCAATTAGCTGCCCGTTGCACACGACAACGAAGTCCACAGTGGGCACATGGTGCTGTGTAAGCTGTGGAGGGGGGTTTTTCTCCACCACCGGGCATGAAAATATGTGAGATCATGCGTGGTAAGCAGGACAATCCTACGAATACAGACATGTGATAGGTTCACAAATAGAAGGAGGTTGCTCTATTTAGATGCTCTGGTAAATAAACACTTTGCAACCTTCAGCGAACAAATGAAATGCTTTACAGCAGCAGTGAGCAGCAGAAAGTAGAGGAGACGCATAGAATAGAACCATTCAGAGGGACACAGAAGGGAATGAAGGGCATAGGCCGAGAAAACCCAAGGGCCATGGCTCAAGCACAAGTAGTCTTTCATAAGGTTTTTCGTTCCTTACCGTTAGTTCTTCCAGTCAAAGAAAGTTGCAGCAAATTTGTAGCACTCACATAGATGACAGACAGGTCAGATTAAAATAAGAAGAAGCACCAGTGCTGCTGGATCCACTCTGGCTGGATTAGTGAATCGAAGAAGGAAAATCGAATTCGTCACTTTGGAAGACGGACTGAAAAGTGTGAACATGATATTTACAAGTACTTCAATTGTGGGGCTGAACCTGAACCTTAGGACTTGATCGGCCACTTTCAGATAGTTTTGATGGATAAATCCAAGGTGATCACTAGAGCTAGCACGGTAGAAGCTAGGATTGATTCATGTACATGCTCCGAATAGCCAGCTAGCGAAAACAACTGTTGAGCTAAAACATTTTTCCTGATCTGCAGTGCTCACTGGAAAGTGCAATGTACATGTGCAAAGCCTGTAGGATGTGCATCAACTATAATTAAGAATTTACAAAACCGAGCATGGGTTACTATTTTCACTTCTTCCTATTTTGCCTTCCTCCACGGCCATCGCCACAACATTGAGCAACACCGAGACTGAATGAATAAGTAGGTCCATGTAACTGCCGTCGACAGAACGTGAGGAGGCCTCATTGAGTGGAACGAGTTGCACACGAGCAACTGCTACCGATCACCGCCAATCGTTCAGAACCGGATTTAGCTGACGATTTGGCAGATGAAACCAGCTCCAAACTTGGCCCGGCTCCAAACGAACCGCTAACATGAAAAGATCCACGCTCAAACAACTGTGGGGAGGAGAGGGGAGGGAGGCTTGCAACAAATGTCAGCGAGGAATTCGAGAGGAGCTGGTGTCTGGATCCATGCAGTATCCATTGCGCAGATCAATGTGGTCCATGCCTGGTCTCAAGCTCGGCGAACTGCAATTCGATCGAAAGAATCTGGACCCATGTTAGCCTGGACCTGTGGAAGAGCTTCACTTCTGGCATAACTTACGCCGGAGACTGAAATTCGCAGCAGCGAGTAACCCGCCGCAGTTGGTGAGCAGTAATGACCCGGTCAAAGCACACTGCTCAAATTAAGCCATTTCAGCAAAAAGGTGCCCAGAGAGTGTGCTGCGGCCAAAGTTCTTCGAAGCTCCTCAAATCTAAAACGAGCCCAGCAGCAAGGGGCAGGGCAGCCCCAGATCCAAATTGGTGCCTGCTCTTGAACGATCGAATCCCAGTCCAAATGTCGTCACCTGAGTCGGCCACTCATCTACCATATTCTCCGCCATCATCACACTCGCGCTAAAAGTCAAGGCCCTCCACATGATGCAAGACCTCGCCTCTCCCTTACATAATATTTCTGGATATCGTGGACGTGGCAACTGCCTCCTACTCCTCATGTCAAGCAATCACTATCTTTGGATTTTTTTTATATATATACCCTAATTACCTTTCATAATTTTCTCATGCATTCTCGATAAACAAACACACGCATCTACTCCACAACATAAATCAGGCAATTTTCCAAATTATGTAGCCCATTTGTTGGGTTTCACATTTGTCGACCCCGCACACTGCTTGAGCTAATTTTGTCCCAGGCCTCTCGTCTATGTTGTATTAAAAGTCATCTGGAGATTTTTTTCTCCTTTTTTTTCTTTCCTTCGCTCTCCTCTCTCTATTATTTTCTATGTCGCTCTTTGCTTATGAATTATGTCTAAATAATGCCTTTTTATTTGCACAAGAGAGGTTTAAATGTCAAAGAATTGGAAAAGTATGGTAAGATTTGAGGTGTGGACCACTTATGTTGGTCATGAACAGCCCCAGTAAGATTGGAGTAGGATCTGTGCATTTGAATATGATAGGTGGGATTAAGAAGTGCTCCCCAACCACAAGCAAAGATCATGTCTATGTGATCGGCAAACCGATAGCAAGTTTGTAAAATTATGGACAAAAACATTATAAACATATGATACATTAATAAAATCTAATAAATCATTCTGAGCTACTCTTCTCATCAGAACCATAAGATCTTATCCATAAACAATCATATTTTGCCTTAAAGTAGATATAAATTTGACAGTCGGAGACAACCCGTGTTTCTTGGGTCATAAGTATGCATGAGTGCAATGAACGCTCCATAGATCTGACCAAAGAAAAGCCTACAGGAACTAGCATGATCTGAAACTACTAAGCAATGATCCTTAGATCCAATATTATGGTGTTCAATTCAAGTCCACAGTCAGGCCTCTCCACCCTCATCGAATTCAGCATAGCTCCCATTAGAGCCACCTTCAAAAGTAGATTCTAGTAATAATAATTATAAGAATTTTCTTCGAATTTTATAATTTTAACACAAAGGCAATGCATTAAGTTTTTCAAGTGTTTCCTCTCTTGATTTTCAGACCAAGGTACGTCAGCGTTTGGAAGGAGTGAGATTGATTTCAAGTGAAAAGGAAGTTAAATATTTTCAAGTTGCATACTCATGTCTCTCGAAAACCCCATACGTTGCCCAATATGATCTATAACATGTTGTAACTTTTCTGGTAAAATATATAGCGGGCGGTGTGTAACATTTCATATATGGTGGCAAGATGATTGTCATCCATCTCTAACAAATCTTGATGGTTTTGCATCCATCTCGAAGTCAAAGTGACACCGCATACGCTTGATGCCAGTCTTCACCATGTAAAGAAAGAGTCTTGGACATCAATGAGGTTGGAGACAAGCTCACAAGATATATTGCGTTGTCTATGCTACCAGTATCCCGTGTTTGTTTAGCTTGAAGTTGACTTGAAGGGGTTCATTTAAAACCTTGTGTTGTAATGCTAGTGCATGTACAGGTCTTTATTACAAGCATTCAGCAAGACCCCGAAATAATGGCAAGCACCTGAGCAAACAAAGAAAGGGCGGGAGGTCATAAAGTCTCCAGTATTTGCTACAGTCTATGGCATATATTGCTTTTGGTTCCCTATTATTCTCCAGAATAGTTCTTTGGTACCCTTAAAGGTGGATGTATCGCATACATATGTTGTCTTCCTCTTTAGAACTGCTCTTGAGGAGCCTACTCCATCAGAAAGGTATAACAGGAAAGCTGGAGTCTGTAGGTAGTCTGTATAGTCTGTAGTCTATACTTCCAATTTTGCTCAACAATCGAATTGATAGTGCCCACCTTGTGACTTTCGTTGCTTGCATACAACTCCATCATGTTTCTGCCTAATTTTTAGTTACTCATTCAAGAATTATCACTCACCTCAAGATAATCAAGTGTCTCTTGTTGAATCGAAATCATCGAAATTTGCGCTTGCATGTGTGACCTCTTCACCTAAGAATTTGATGATGACCCATTGAAAAAAGAAGAAACTCAGAAGATCTCAGTGCCCACTATTTTTACTATCAAGTTCCTCAATCTTGCTCTTGTTTCAGAAAGTATGCACTTTTAACTCTCCAAATACATGTCATAAGACAAATTGACAAATGTCTGAAACAAACAAAACCATACCCATAGTAAACATTGTCTAGGCAAAGAAGTGCATTTTTCAGGCTTTGAATACTCAAAATTTTCTAGAGGATGTGAATTATTCCATACGTTACCGCGTGACCATACCTTGGCCAATGACTGTTTCCTATATTAGCCGATTGGGTATGTGGTGAAGATGACCCTGGTTCTCTCTTTCTTCCTGTGTTTTCCGTTTCCCTTTCTCTCTTGTCTTTGATTACTCCATCTCTTTGTGACTCCTTGTCTCTATATGTAGCTCTGTATCTATAAAAATATTCTAAGTTATAACTAGATTTCAAGCAAGGGATTTGAACCATAGCATGGGAAAAATCTATCTGTGTTGTGTCACTTACATGACCAGTATGAGTGACCACGAAATTTCAAGGGGTGGATTGAACATGTGGGTCCGTAACACTCGCCATCAGATGTGTTCTACGACACTTTATAGTCTGTTGTCATTGTAAATCATGTTAATCCTATCAAGAGAAAGAATGGATAGCCCAAAACTCAAGTGTCCATAAATTCTCGGGATGTTCATGCGAAATAAGAAGAATGATGGTAATGAGCTCGGAGGGAACTTCGCGACCAATTGTGAAAAGTGGAAAGGACTTACGTTCAAAATGATGCTCTACAGTAGGCATTTATTGCCAAATAATCGAGCAAGATGCGGCTCGCGTTAAAAGCGTCAGCTTATGGGAAAGTTTATTAACTTTTATTGACAAGCCCACGTATGAAAAGTAACGGATCTGAGGTTCTGAGTAGAATGCTCAAAGCATGGTACACCCTAAACTCTTGTGCACTCTTCATTTCAAGAAAAATCCAAGGGGTAAATACAAAGCGTACGAGAGACTGAGAATCAGTACCATGTTTCGAAGATTCATAATGGACATCACCGCCATCTTCTTCTATAACCCAGCTTTCGATTTCCTATCAAAGTGGCTCCAAATTAAGAGATTCAATATTTCTTATGAACTATTGAAAACCTGTATATCCGTAGTATATATGAACTAAACCCTAAAAACTCTAGTATGAAGAATCATTCACAGCCTTTTGTTCACAAATGTTCAAGATTAAAATACCGGAAATACTCCATGAGATGTGAATACTCTTTCCTGTCCCAGGGTAGAACGTATGAAGATCCATAAACACATAAAAAATATGACTACGGCTTGTACCAAGTCTCTAACATGTAACATGCAAAACGTTGGGAAGAGTGAAACAACACATTTTGTGAGCTTTCCACTTGCTTTCCTTCGATATTCTTCAAGGGGCCAAGCCAGAACTAGATTGACTAGCTGCGGCATATAGATTACAAATGAAAATAGAAAAATCAACCACCTTTTCCCCGAATCATTTGGGGCAAGTAAAATCAAGTAGTAGTATCGTGGCTTGCAAGTAGTATAATAGCTGGTTGAATAAGAAGAGCGACAGTTTCTCATATGCGAAAAGATTCTGTATTTACAAACCCACATCTCATTGTTTGGCATATTCATATATACTTTGGCAAATGATTACACCATACAAAAAATGCCTATGAACGTCTTTCTTTGTATCACGGCCTATTGTCTACAAGTTTAGGCCTCTACAATTATGACCTAAAAGCCAGGCAATATGGCAAAAGGAACGGGAGGCTCTCATCAAGAAACACAACAATTGGAAACCCCTTGTTTGGCACCATACTTTTAATTCTGGACGAGACTTGAGGCACTTTACGTTCTAACAGTGGCCTAAAGTAGTTTGCCCTTCCAAATTTTAAGCTCGTGAGACGGTCTTAGTTTTTATGCTTTATTTGGTGAGGAGTAATAATGACGACATAAATATTTCTCAGCACATTTGTACAAGGACTCTGACAAAATTGCTACACCGACTTCGGTGTTTACCTTCTACTGTAAAATGAGGAACGGATCCTTATCTAAAATTACATTGCTTCTCAGACCAATCTACCTGTTCCTGTTCTTTGGCCTCCCAGTCGTTCGTCTGGAAGGATTCTTTCTTCGAATTAGACATATGACAAGGTATTGTACCTACTATCATTGCCTCTCTGGACTTCTGCAACAGAGATCCCAATTGTGGTTGTGCAAGACACATGATGAAGTTCTGAGTTATCTCCTCCGCACTCTCTGGAACGACGGGTTTATAAGTTTGTAATCTTGCATACTCTGATATCAGGTGATACATGTAGTCGTATACATTATTCATACTCAAATCTCTCCGCAAAAACTCTTGCCCGGTCTTGCCGATTGCCATTGCCTGTAAGGTAAGGTGGTTGATTAGGCAGATCCCATATCTACATATCATTCAATATTATGACCAGGTCCACGTAAGTCAAATCCCTGCTGAGGACCAGCGGAAGTGTGGAATGAAATCTGTCTCCTGTTTTGGGAAAACTTGAAAGTTGATTTTAGCCATGACTTAGAGGTGTTTGCAGTTGCATACCTTTTTAGGATTTGATTCTGCCCAATCAACTGCCGTGTTGATGGACGGACAGAGCTTGCTGGCACATATTTCAGAAGGGCGGACAGGCATGTAATGAACATACGACTTCAGCCCGCGCGAGAAAAAATCATGATATTTGGGCGATATTGCCAAAGTTGGAGACCCACAAGCCATGATATACTTGAAACTCACAGACCACGCGAAGCCTTCGGCGTAGATTTTGTACCTGCAACACCAAGGATGAGAAGTAATTACTCTCGTGCGCACCTTCGACCTCATCTAAGAGATCAAACGAAAACTGCAAGAACGGTAGTCGAAAGCTAAATAATAACTCCTAGTGAAGGAAGAACGAGACCTAGTGAAGGAAAAGGTTTGGGAGAAAATGAACCTGTGATTGCACTGGTTCTCTAGCTTAGACTTCCAATTCTCGGTCTCTGCAGCACGTTCATCATCCCAGTTCTGATGGAGAACATAATGACCATCATCGATTCACAAAATCAATTTAAAACTCTCGACTTCCTGCAGCTAAATGTGCATCAAAGACGCATGGTGCTCAAGAGCTACGCAGATGTCAAGCCTTTCTACTTGCTAATTCTTAATACTGCAGATTATGTCAAGTTTTACAGAGCTAACAGGGCCTGAAAAGAACAGAAGTATAGAGACGCTTGGTATGACATCCAAGGGACAATTTAAATCACATGATGTTGGATTGGAGATCGCATTTTGCCACAAAGAACTGCTTTGTAGGAGTAAGGCACATGAATCTGGTAAAGACAAATAGTGCTAGCATCAGATGAAGACAATATGTGTTGACTGAGAGCAGCACCTGATTTTGGATTTCCGATCTGGAAGCGTACCATCCAGAAGCATTGTTGCATTTAAGCAATTCCATCCGAAGAGGTGAACCAACGTCAGGATTCCCTCTCCAGAATGCTTTCCGGGTCTTACTTTTCCAACTCGTAGAAGCAGAAGCCTTCGCAATTTTCTCTCGTTGCTCATCCCATGGTTCCAACTTTGTTTCGCTCCTGTAAAGATCATATATCATCATTTCTACTGACAAAACTACAAAATGAGAAAACGGAATTACGATCCATGGCATGCCTAAAACACTTCAAGAACACTGAAAGTAGCCCCTTTGAAATATAGTTCTCAGATAATTATTTGATTGAACTAGAGGTGCAGCGGCATATCACATAAGCAAATCTGCAGTGGAGAACAAAGGGACAGTGCAAATTTAGATAGATTCTACAGTCTAATGCAAGTCAAGACTACACGAGACAAAAATGACGGGAGAAAGGAGAGGACTTGTGTTGCAATAAGTAATAATGACAGGATCATGAGAAGTATGCGTAAACCCATCCAAAAAGTCTCATAATAAGCATATCCAATGTGTTATGGGTTCAAAGCAGGGCACTAAAACTAAAATTTTAGACAAACGACAGATCATAGATCAATCTGCAAACTGCGAAATCGAATGCATACCGAAGAACAGATACTAACGTAACAGATAAGATCAGCAGGAAACAGGTTGTAGATAAAAAGAGAAATCAAGCGATTGCACCTCTACTGATTATGATAGTATTATATGTTAACATACTCGCTGTTGGAGAGAGTATGGGCATTGCTTAGGTTATGCACAGATAGTTGCAAACCCGGAGCGAAGACTTGATCTGTTCCACACGCTGGTTTTCGAGAAAATCACATGAGCTTCCATTGGAAGATCACGCGATCTCACTTTTCAGACAGGTGTGCATATTCAAAACATCCTAAAACAGAAAAGAAAAAAACTACTCATACAAATATCGTAATCATAACGGTGAAGTGTAGGGGCAGCAACTGTTTCATGCTTGGCATACAGGTTCCGCTAGTGCTATCGGTGTCATAGTTAGAACAAAAGCCAGAATAGGTACAAGATAAACAGTCTTTTCTGCATCCTGCAGATCAACTGTTCAACGAATCCATTCGGCCAGATGTTGGACGATTCAAACATTCCCACTTCGATAAAATTGTCTTAGGTGTCAAATAAGGCAGACACAAGCAATCGAGACCAAGAAAGACCCTGCTGAAGTAGCCATGATTCGTTAACCGAGTGAACGAGATAAAATAGGAAGTAGATTACGTACCAGCCCCAGAAAGACCAATCTGGGAAAGGGATATCGTAATGACTTTTGGTGCTGCAGTAACGAAACAGAACTGGCGGGCTTTCTAGATCTGAGTAAGTTTCCGTCCTTGATATGCGAGGTCGATCCATGCAATCAAACATGAGGTCTACGTCTGGAACTAGTCCCTTGTACTTCTCGAGTAGCAGCAAAATACCCCACACAGTAAACAAAGCTCGGGTTTGCACACAAGAGTAATACACGTCCAGGTACAACCTTCCTTTCACTATCGTTACTCTGAAAGCAGCGGAGTCTTTAGTCACTTCAACATTTCTCTTAGTGATGCCCGATTTCTTCCATGGGGCAAGATCGGACCGGATCCACTCGAAGAATTGGGGACATGAAGAATTTGATGGTCTTGCTTCCAGGCTACCCGCCGTACGGGGGAAAGTTGGTATCCAACTATGGAAGGAGCATTTTTTTATGTCTACAGAGCGCTCCCATGTGAAAGCGTGAGGACCCAATGGGTTGTCATGCCAATGCCAAGGTGTAGGGAGAAGGTTGTCTCCAAAAACCGTTCTAGCGTGCAGCATTTCTTCCTTTTGTAATGTGACCTGCACATAAAAATTGAGTATCAGAAGTACGTTACGGTCAAAGAACGCGACTGGATCTGTATCAGCTCCGGCCAACGTCAAATGCTAGCCGACAACCTTCCTGATTAGTATCCAATGAATGGAGATGCTGGTAATTTCTCGTCATCCCTCTTCTCAATTTCAGAATTAAGATAGATTGCATCCATGATCGTCGTGTGAACTTCCCTGGACTAGAATTGCACCAGGGCTGGACAAAATGCGCATTCAAATGAACACAAACTCCCTCCAGTTCTACTCAGTGAATTCCAAATCTTAATGAAACAACTGACTGTAGCCGGTACAGCGGACTCGAATAGTCCATGTTGGGATCATGCAGACCATGACCTTCTGATCTACACCTGCTTAATAAGATTTAACACTCAAGTGTACGTGACGAACGTCAATGGAGTAGAAAACCACAACGAGCAGCATAATGCTCGCAAGTTTAGACAACGTCAAAACATAAGACCCTAACATTCCAGCGAACATTTCATTACTCCGACTGTCATCGATTCGATTCTTGTTTCAAAATTTGCATCAAGTGGACACCCGAACCAGCTAACGTTAATGAACGAAAACTTTCCTGTGATTCATGGTGCCACTGATCTGCCAACGTAAAACCATTGACTGACCGAGTCAGACTCTTGTGGAGCCACGAGTATTTGAGCCAATTTGTATTCCTCTAATTTGACTGCCTCCTCTTAGTGCAGTTAATAAGAACCCCGTCAACCCCATCTGGTCAACTGTCTCTGAGGTACCCCAAGTGGCGAGCGAATGTGAACGTAACATGTGACACTCATTCCTTCGCGAACATTTCCATCATTGCGAAATGATGGAAATGCCTGAAATGATGGAATGTTTTTAAGCCTCCCGTCATTACGCACGCGTGCAGGGAACCAGTAATTCCTCTCTAAGAACGAAGTGAGGGACATCATATCGCCTCTGTGGGCCACACACGGAAGAAGAACAAGAGGTCATGATTTCTCACCTTATGAGCAAGCAACGAAAACAGGATGAGACACAACAAGATCCCGACCAGGTACGATAGGGGCCAATAACGATGACGCAGAGGCAACTGCGGCTTCCCTTTCCGGATACGGGGGGAGGAAGCCCCATTGAGCCTAATCTTCAAGAATCTCATTATTCCAGAAAGTTGACGCTTCATCTTCTCCTCAAATACATGTCCTCTGATCCGATCAGAAGTGAGACTGAACACCAGCTGAATGTACTACACACAATACCAGAGGCTTCCGAAACTTTCTCCGACAGTTCTCGAGTGTGCTGATTGAGCTCTCATGTCTTCCGAATCTTGTCAAACGGCTTCTTCGACACATGTCAACAACATGGTAGGGACTCTGCGTTTCGGACTCGAGTGGATCAAGAGCAGAATCCAGACAGACTCCAAGATCCTCGAATCGACTTCACAATCCCCGCTGCATCCAAGCTCATCCACATGGTTTACATCAAATTCGCCGCTCCTGCCAGAGAAAATGCCAGCCCCGAATCGCAGCAAACATTCAGGACATTCGCACTTCGTCCGTTTCAGAAGAAATCACATTTTTGCGAGGGACTCTGCAGCAGGCCCTGAAACCGAAGCGCCCATGTGAGGAGATTCTGCACCCGAACACAGGGGCTGTACGAAACGCCTGCCGGAGACGCAAATTCACCTGCTACCTCCCCCCCACCGCACTCGCACCACCCCAGCCCACCATGTCTGTCGCCTGGCAGCTACCTATTTTTGGACAGACGATAAATTTTGTCTCGGGCACGAGGTAAGATCGTAAAGCCGAAACGACAAGACGAGGTTAATTCACTCGCCAGAACCGCCCACTTATACCCGCACACCATCGTCATTCAAAACTCGAAGAACTCCCTCGCTGGTACGTGCGAAGCCATCGCCATCATGCCCTTTCTGCCTCCCTCGCGTCTCCTTCGCAGCCGAGCAAGCGATCCGCTCGAGAACGCAGCTGCAGCTCCAGCACTCAACCCGTCGAGCACCGCCGTGCACAGGACGAGCCTGCTCGCTCGCTCGCCTTGCTTTCCGAAAGCGACGCCGCCCACACGAATCCTCGACCCGCCATGCCCAGAAACGGGCTGTGCAGAAAAACCCAAGAAACCTCAAGAATGCGCCGCAGCATCGCGCAAGGCTCGTATTCTTGGGCCGCATCGCGCAAGAAAAGAAAGAAAGGACGATCGGAGGCCCCACGGCGATTCTCGGGACTCCTGCGAAACGGTTCGGGGTGCCACGGGGGGCTGACACGCGCTTGCGCGACGCCAGCAGATCGCGTCAAGAATTCCCCGATACCATAATGAAAACGACAAGCGTAGCAGGGACAGGGACAGGAGCGAAGCCGTACTTCACACCAACTTCGCTCGTACGTGCGAAGCCATCGGCGTCATGCCCTTTCTCCCTCCCTCGCTTCCACTTCGCAGCCGAGCAGGCGATCCGCTCGCGAACGCAGCAGCTGCTCCAGCAACTCAACCCGTCGCGCACCGCCGTGCACAGGACGAGCCATCTCGCTCGCCCGCCCGCCCTGCTTTCCGAAAGCAACGCCGCCCCCACGAATCCTCGACCCGCCATGCTCAGAAACGGCCTGTGCAGGAAAACCCAAGAATTCTCAAGATTGCGCCTCAGCATCGCGCGAGGCTCGTCCTTCTTGGGCCGCATCGAGCAAGAAATGCAAGAATGCACGATCGAGGCCCCAAAGGCGCTTCTGCTGCTGCGCACGCGATCGCCTCAAGAATTCCCCGGTACAATAATGAGAACGACATGCGGGACAGGGACCGGAACAGGGACCGGGATCGGGACAGGGACAGGAGCGACACCTGCGCTCAGAGCCTCGGACGAATGATGGCGCAGCAGAATCGAACTCGAATCGCGAAGTGGCGTTTGTGCGAATCGCGAATAGTCGAAGGCCCGACATCCTCCGGGCGGGAACAGCGCCATGGGCTCGGGCCCCAAGGCCTTGTTCCGGAACAGCTCCTGGATCCGTTCTGTGAAAAGTACAGTGATGCCCTGTACTGTACTTCATTCCACTTTCGGTACACAATACGGGATATGCTGAAATGTATACAATGATAGGTTAGCGCTTGCTGTAAATATTTATCTATTCTATTCTACTCAGGTGGTGTGTGATATAAAATATACATAAATTTAGAGATCCAACTATTACGCGAACCTGGATGTAATTAAGCATCATCAATTCAATATCTAAATCATATTATGATTTTTTCATTACACGGATAATGTGTGTCTGTAGTTAAAGCGTGATAAAACCGAGTAACGTACCGAGTACTAACGTGTCCTTGTTTATATCACACTATACATATGTCCTAGGGCTCGTGCATCTTCCAATGAAATAGAATCTAAATAGGTTTCTCACCTGTTCTTATACGTAGGTATCTTAAAGACATATCTAAAGTTATAAGTTTACCCTTTAAAGTAATAAAGAATTGGTACTGAAAAGAATTGTGAAATTGCCTTGGTACTGAAAATCATATATAGTTACGTTATATAACAACATATTTGTAATTTTTTTTGCTATAAACGAAAATTATATTAAATTAAGTAAAATTAAATGAAGTGCATAAAAAGCCAAAGAGGAAATACTTTATTTATTTAGCCAAAATTTGAAATTCTTTATTATATCGTGGTTGCATTGGTCATAAAAAATCATATTATGATCACTGGATCTGCTTTGAGAAGAATACATGAAGAAAAGATTATAGATAAATTTTAGGCAATAACGTATTTCTATTTATGCATATTTTATTTGATATTAATTTGAATAAAAATACGAAGTATGTGATGACTTTGATACAAATAGTTTTGTATGCTTTTCTAATAAATCATTGTAATATCAAACAAAAAGAAAGTGTATATATCACAACGAGCTTGAAGATCAATTGTCTACCAATTGTCGAGGAAGATATCCGCATTGTTTCGAAATGCATAGGGAAGTGTTAATACTTTGCACCATCATTATTCTTCCGTTGTGGGTCAATGGCTTGTGACATTTAGGAATTGCAGTCAAGAAGAGTCTAAGAGCACTCATTTAGGATGGCTATCACATCGAGCCAAACCACATCACGGAAGGTCAAACGAAATATTTTTAAGTACTAATTACAACTCCATAGATAGGAGGATTGATTGTTACGTGATGGAGATCGTCGAAACCTCCACATTTACTCTGTTGTTCCGGTGCTAACAATTCAAAACTCAATAAAATCTCAGAGTAAATCAATTTACAAGATTTAATGATTGCTACATTAAAACTCGTTTATGGACTGCGTTTCCTCATAATATTCAGGTCGGAGATTTTGCCTATAAACGTTATTCATCTTTATTTCCATGTTAATATAACATCACATGTTCAATGTCATGTTTGTTAATATTTGTATTCCAACTCTTGCAAACAAAACCTGTTTTATTTATTTATAAGAGATCTTTAAATTTTAAACACATTTGAATGATACTCATTAAAACTGTGATACATCGTTAGACAAATTTACATTGCTACGAAATGAATTGGAAAATGATGAACTAAGGTGAAATCTCATAGCCGTGGACAACGCGGTCAATTTCCTTCACCAATCAGTAAATTTATCTCTAATCTAGAGTAAATGGTTGCTAAAATTAAGTTGGGTTTTTAGCATTAATTCCACTGCGAACACAAGTCAAACTACGAGTCATTGTAGGACCCCCTTCAACCATCCGAGCAACCAACCCCAAACAATATTCTCCAACGCTTACAATACGCAGATCCCTCGATCAACAAATCTGAGCTATCCCTGAGCCCCGACGGTCCGCCTTGCGGCGGACCTCTGCCTCCACTTCTGATCGCCAATGTTAGACCTGGTCACTTCCAGAAGAACGTGTGCGAGGAACCGTGCTCTATCAAAGCTTTGGACAAAAGCAGCTTTTCCCCACACGGCTGCACCGGTGGGCTCTGTCCTGTTTCTGAGATCAGATCAAAATGTATATATTTCCCTTGCTTCCCAGAGAAGAAAGGTACTTCTCTGGGAAGAGGCTTACCTTGGAGTTGGTATATTATCACCACTGTCAGTTGTCTCGTGCAACGAACATGCTCACGTCTTTAGGACATGCAGAGGAGACCCCACCATAAAACCGTTCATGGCCCGAACCGAATCCTCGTGACCTCGGTCATTCTCGATTCCACCAAATGTTGAATTTCTTGAACTACAGTAGAACTTCTGATGTAAATCAGATGTAAAAGAAGCAGTGTCCGTTCTCGTGGGAACTCGACAATCACTCTTCGGCCACTTGGAGAGTCGAAGAGTGTGACTGGATATAGGATCAAAATCACAGTAGGCCCCACATACAGGGCAATGCACCGAGTAAACGTCGATGAACAATCTAAGCCTTCCCTGGTAATTTCCCCTTGTAATTTGGCGGCTTGTTTGCATCTGGTGATCTCAGGGCTGCCACTGTAATGCCGAGTGAGGCTTGTTCAGATAATGTATTCAGTGCAAATCCTGCCGAAGGAAAGATGCCAGCTCATGGCAGTCTGAAGTCTTCAGTCTTCACAGCGAAGAAGTTGAATGCCAGCGTCGGAGCTCAGGGATAGCTCAGATTTGTTGATCGAGGGATCTGCGTATTGTAAGCGTTGGAAAATATTGTTTGGTGTTGGTTGTTTGGATAGTTGGAAGGGGTCCTACAAGGACTCGCAGTTTGACTTGTGTTCGGAGTGGAATTAATGCAAAAAACCCAACTTTATTTTAGCAACAGATTACTCTAGATTAGAGATAAATTTACTGATTGGTGGAGGAAATTGACCGCATTGTCCACGGCTATGAGATTTCACCTTGGTTCATCGTTTTCAGTTTCGTTGCATAGCTATGTAAATTTGTCTAACGATGTATCACAGTTTTAATGAGTATCATTCAAATTGTGCTTAAAATTTAAAGATCTGTTTTATATAAATAAAACAGGTTTTGTTTGCAAGAGTTGGAATACAAATATTAACAAACATGAAATTGAACATGTGATGTTACATTAACATGAAAATTTAGATGATTCACATGAAATTACTGGTTATATGCCTTGTAACTTAATATTAGTAGTTCACAGTTATATTTGATTTGTGGGTATCAAATTATATCCACAATTGGGATAGTTATGATACAATGGACAAATTGCAAGTTATAAAGTTGAAATATATTAAAGTAAAAAGGATAAATCAACTAGAAACGGAAAAAATTAAACTTAGTGTTATCTTTGTATATATTGATCAAAAGAGATAATTTTTTTGGAATAGCATATCTAATATTATTAAACTCAACTAAACCATATAAAATAATGATAATGAAAAAGTGTAAAATCTGAAGAATGAAGACAAAATTTTTTAAAGAGATGAAAACTCACATCTAGTTGATTTTGATCTATTTTAATTTAGATTGGTTAAAATCCTAGTTTAGATTTAGGTCATGCTATCACTAGCAAAATCTCTTGATTATATCTTTAGATTTTTATCAGTAAAGATTGTTTTTGTTCACATACACAAGTATCTCACATTGGCAAATCATATGCTTCAGAGTAATGTTTACGTGTATATGTTTGTGTTTTCATTTTCTTATGTTATTTCTTGTGAAAGTTTGTTTTTCCTACTGATTCATCTCATCAATTGCTATCAAAGCGGCAGATTGATCAATCATGTCAAGATAATCAAGTTCAATTGAAATATGAGCAAACAAGATTATCAATCA